CAGTTTTCATAGTCCAATTAGCACCACACCCCTCCGGTAAGCACTGCCCAGGGGCCAAGCCTCACGTTATGTCTCAGACTGGAGGCAAAGCCACGAGCAAGGCTCCGTAAGCTTCAATTCCAGCTGCGAGGAGCACCTCGGCGGGTGCGACCTGCTGTTGTGATGCTTGCAGACACCTCGCTGCCTGCACAGGGCTATTTTTGGAAATTCCTGATGCTTTCACACTACCTAAATCCCCTTTTAGCCTGGAAGTACCAAAATGCAGCCGTGCCCCAGCAAGAGGAAAGAAGAAAGGTTAGGAAGAAGAAAGCTCGGAAAACCAGGCTGGGTTTCTGGTGCGAGGAGCCCACACGGCTCTATAAATGACAGCCATCGGCTAAAATTCAGGTCAAAAGCGATGCTGCTGGGCAGCACCCGGCACCCTCAGTGCTCCTCTCCTTTCCTCTCCTTTCCTTTCCACGCTGGGACCTGCTGTTGGCTCCTCGGCAGCGGTACCGAGAGCACCGCCAGCCCCATTAGTCACCGGCCACCGGTTGGCCAAGCTGCTGGTGACATTTTCTGCGAGTGGATCTTTCCTCATTGAAGCCGTCTCTGCAGAGAGGAGCGAGAGGCAGAGCACGGGAAGGAACAGCCACGATTACTCACGAGCTTTTTTTTTTTTGTTGGCTCCAGCTTGGACAGCAATCCATGGAGCAGGCACCGCGCACGCCGCTGCAGGCAGCCCGCAGAAGCCCCTGCTCAGCCTGCAGCAGAGGCAAGCAAGCCATTTATATTTAGAAAGCCTCGGCGAGTGCAAGTGTGCTGCTCTCCAGCTTCAGACCAGCTGCTCTATTCAGAGCTAGCTGCCCCAATAAAAAAAGGGAGAGCAGAAATAAGGCAAAAAAAGCCCAGCGAGGAGGTGCCGGCAGCACCTCACTGTGACGCTGCAGACCCGGGATGAAGGGGGGCTGGCGTGCTCGGCGCACAGAGAAGGGGATTAAGAGGTGAAGGTCATCAGCAAGGAAGGGAATGCGTGCACACAACCTGTTGGTCCAGAGAGAGAGATTTGGGAGGCCTAACAACATTTTCACACTAAAAAAAAAGCATTATTCCCTGCAATCACATTCAGAGCTGGCTGAAGCGGTGCGAAAGCAAACAGCCAACTCGGGATCGAGCTAGCGTGGCTCTCCTTCCCCCCAGCCCTTTGGAAATTTCTCCTGGATCTGCAAAGCAACAACAACGACAGATTGATTTTTCTGGCTTTTCCTTCTCCGTGATGCAGCTACCTCAGAAGCCACCCCAAAACGGGGGACTTGACCCAGTGCCGTGTACCTGGCCAGCCGCAGGGCGCGATGCCACCGCGCACACACCGTTTGGGCTCGGCGGCACCTTCACCTGCCAAAAAAATTGCCGAGTGCAGCCATCGGCTTTCGGAAGAGCAGCACACCAGCACCTTCACGATTCCTGCGGCTTTCAGCCTTCATTTTCTTGCTTTGTGAAGTGATTTGCTGAACCAACACAGCTGCTGCCTCCTCCCAGCACAGCCAGCTCGGGAGCCACCGAGAGCTTCTCCTCCGCTGCTGGAAGCCAGCCGCCGAGCTCCTCGTCCTCCTGACCACAGCTGGGGTGTGACAAAGAAAGAAACCTGGTGAGGGCTGTACACGTATAAACATGCTCCTTTCGCTCAGGTGGAAAAAAAAAAAAATCAAAATCTACTGAGTGCATCTGAATACCTCTGAAACTGCTGCCTGATGAACACGATTTTAAATTGGAAAAAAGCACAACAGAAACATAAGGAAGAATGCAAGGATTCCCTACGACCCTAAAACACTCCCAAGCAAACCTATTAGATGTGAGCATCATTTCAACACAAATTAAAGCACGTATTTTAATGCTGTGCCACTACTCTTGATTAAAATCAAAACCTTTTTTAAAAAAAAACAAACAAAAAAACCCCACATCATTTAGGATGGGGAGAAAATGAATTAAAAGTAACCTAAAAAATAAAATTAAGACAATACTGAAGAAATTCATTTCCCAGATTAGCAATGTGCTATGACACTTCAAACCCCCCAAGGAACAGCTAGGATGCCTGCCTCCTCATTATACCAAACAGAGCAAATCCAATCAGATGAACATGCTGCGGGATCAGGCAGGAGCCACACGAACAGCATTACAAAGCAAAAAGATGGAGAAAAAAGATTTTCTAAACCTATTGTACTAGCTCAAAACCGAGCTATTCACTCACAGAGGAGATGGCAGCAGTACCAGGGTGGTCCTGCAGAACAGCCTGACAAAAAAATAAATAAATCCTCAAAGCCAGAGGAAAATTAGGAAAAGTTTCAACGAGAAATTCTAAAATCCTAGCAGAGCATTAGGACCACAAGACTGCACTCGAAACACTCCATTTCCATTCAAAAGCCTATTTCATACATGGGAGCACGAGTCAACTGATAAATTTTACCACACTATTGCGTTACTTCTTCACATTGCACTTCCAGCCTTTAACGATGCTCTGGTAGCTCCCTGCTTCAAATTTCCCCAGGCTTAAAATAAGCACCTAGCGAAGAGCGCTGACCTTCAGGAAAATTAGTGAATGAATGGGAAAACTCGCACACCAGCACGCGACAGAGCTGAGAGCTACGACAGCATTTATTTTGAGCGAGAATCTGATTAACTGCCTGTAAAACTCCAAGCGACACAGAGAGGGGACAGGAACGTCTGTTTCCCCAGCCCCGCGAGACAAGAATGAGCTGATGCTCAAAGAAATGCAAAGACAACAAACAAGAAACCAAACGGGATATTTTTGCTCGGCAAGCAATCAGCTCGAGACACGCCGCTGCCAGGCAGCCAAGAGGCCAACTGCTCGGGAACGATATAAACGCATGACTTGCCTTTAAAATAAAATGATCATCAAGCCATATGAAAAAAAAATAATGAAACAAAAGTGTCTTTTTTAAAAAACGTGCATCCTTCGGAGCATGAAGCAGCATCTAATTGCCGGGTTCAGGTGTTTTGCTAGGGGTACAGCGAGCCCTTGTCTGAGACATCTGCTTTAGAAGTGACAGGATGGAGCCTGACAGACTGCAGCTCCCACACACGAACCCTGCTGTTAGTTCTTTACGTGTGGGCACGCGTGTGTTTTATAGATATTAAGAGACACGCCACGCTTACACAAACACCTTATTTCAAGACCTTGTGGCTCCTGCAAGGGTTTCAGAAACCGCTACCCGTGGCTGCGCCACGCCAAGCAAGCGGCGGAGCTCTCATCTCACCATACTTGTGGTTTCTGGCAGGCCACAGATTGTGCAGAAGGGGATGTACTGCGTAAAACAGTTTTTGTTTCCTTGGTTTCGGTTTTATTAGCAAATTTGACATTTCTGATGATTTAGTCCTGCTTATCAGCCTTGAAAGCAGAAAGAGAAGTTAGCAAGCTGTATCTACCCCAGCCACGAGTAGAGACGTGAGCTATTCCTGTGAAAATGGATTTACCTGTAAGCAAACACAACTGGAAAATATAACCCCAGGAAATCACATCATCAGAAACACCGTGCACCAACCTTGCTGCACCTGCTGGGCTTAAGGGATCAGGCAGGACAGAGGAAAAAGTTCTGTACGGAGGAGAGGCAGGCAGTGCAGCAGGCTCAGTCACTACCCTTGGAAGTGTTTGAGACCCAACTGGATAAAACCCTGAGCTACCCCACTCCATCTCTGCTTTGAGCAGAAGTCGATGAGATGACCTCTGGAGGGGAGGGATGCTCAGGAGCTGCTGCAGTGCCCCAGCTTGGGTAGGGCTCCGGCTCCCCAGTACCACCGAGCTCCTGGTGCCCACCTCGAGCTGCGTGGCAGAGGGTACACGTGGCACTGACCCCAAAAACTCAAACAGCAGTGGTTTTAGCAGAGGTATGGATTTGAGAGCTGCTCCAGGCAAATGGCTACACCTGTCCATGTCCCATCCCTGTGCCAAAACACCCTGGCTTGCACCTGGCTCACTCTGTTCTCTGGGGCTTTTCCCCATATTCCTGCATTATGGAAGGGAACTTCAAAAGTTGCCTGGAGGTGGTGCTGGGCAACCTGCTCTGGGTATCCCTGCTTGATAGGGGGCAGGGGTAGGACCAGATGGACCCAGAGGTCCCCGCCAGCCTCAGCCATTCTGCGACTGCCATAGCTTGCCTCCTATCACCAAGGGATACAGCAACCACGTAAACCTGCAAGCTGCCTCCCTTTCGCCCTTTTCAGTGCCACCAGATCACTTCAGGCACCTTTCTGTGTCATTGGATGATAGCAGCAGAAGGAATACTGCAAATAAGGAAAGCAAGTCACCCCAGGCAGCAGCTGCTGTCCCCCCAGCAGCCAGTTCCCTCGAAGAGGATGACAAAGCAAACATCTCTGCTGGACAACCCTTGGGTTGTGCTAATCGTGGCTGAAGCTCTTGGGGCACCTGCAACAGGAATCCTGCAACCTCTATGGAGTCTTCTGCTGGGATCTGAGACCTTATTGCGATCTCCATGGAGATAAATGCATCTTTACAACAGTAAAAACCAACACCCAGCTGATTACCACTGGCCGCTGAGGACGAGGAAGCCAGAAGCAATCCGCTCACCCCAAAACCACCATCCCCAGTGGCATGCAGCACCCCAGGACTGCCAGCTGCTGCTCTCTTCACCCCCTGCTGTTGAGTCCCCATGAGTTGAGGGCAACTTCACACGTACGGCCTCCTGGCAGCCACACACCTCAGGTCCCACCATGAAGCCAGAGATCAAACCTCAGGGCTAGGCTAGCCCTTCCCTTTAACTGCCTTAACTCCCCCACGCCTCGTTACAGCAATTGCAGTCGTTATTGCAGTTACCCACTGAGTGGCCAGCAGAGAATTGCCCAACAGCGATGCCCCTAACGCTTTGCAGCTGCCAAAAGCAAAGCTGCAATTTCTTGGAGGAAGGAAACCAGGACTGCCACGCTCCCTCACGACCCACAAAGCTTCAACCCTCCAAAAAAAACGTGGAGAGGAGGGCTGGGGTTACCTCGGTGAGATGCGGGTTGGGGTTGAAGCCGCACTGGTTGCAGACCTTGCTGTGACACTGGGTGCAGGCGTTGTAGTTGGGCTGGCTGGGGGCAGAGGTGAGCTCCGTCGTCTTGCAGATGGGGCAGAGGGTGCTGCTGGGCAGGGGGGCGATCTGGGGCAGCGAGTAGGGCGAGGTGGGGGTGCTGCCCCGCTCGGGCGACGCGGAGGGCGAGCGCCCCGCTCTCTGGCCCCGCGCATCCACCTGGAGCATCCTCCGCTGTCCCTCCGCCTGCCCGCGGCCGCGCATCTCCCGGGGGCTCTCCGAGCCGGGTGCCAGCGAGGGGAAGGCAGACCGCTGTCCCTGCCGCCTGGTCCAGCTGCTCCGGTCTCCTCGGCGTGCTGAAATGCCAGGAAAACACACAGCTGTGAGCCAAGGTTGAGCGATTTCTGCCAGCCCAGCCAACATCATACTCAGCGCCATCCCCCGAGCACCCTCTCCTTCCCCAAAGTCCCGGCTCAGCTGGTGGAGGCAGAGCGAAATTTTTTCCCAAACGAGGTAAATTGCTCAGGTCGGCAGAAGGATGCGCTTCATCTTACAAAACAGAGCATGACTTGAACTTTCCCTTACGCAACCGAGGGATGCAATTGAATTACTCTGCGCGCTCAGGCGCTGGGCACAAAGTTGCACAGAAGATGCCCGTGGGCAGCCTGGCGGCTCGGTGCCCGGCCAGCCGCGGGCTCCCAGCAAGCACCCCAGCTCAAACCAGTAACCCCCAGGTCTGCAGCCCCCAGGACTGGCTGAAACATGCTAAGCAGCCCCCTCACAACCCACGTTTTGGAGCCTTTTAAGACCGAAAAGAGACTTATCTATGGAAGAACACCACCTGAGGAAGGCCAAGCCCCTGAGAAAAGCAGCAGTGGGACGCTCGGGGAGCTGTGCCTGTGGCAACCCCTCCCTTACACCTCCCTTCCCCAGAAGACACGGGAGTTGTAACTGCTAGGAGCAGCTCTCCTGGTGCTCCCAAGGACAGCACTTAAAGAGCTTAATGGCTCTGCGCTGGCGCCCAGCCTCCCCCCTTGTGGGGCAGCCCAGGTGCCGGATTTAACCCGTGCCAGAGCACGGCCCTGCGCCCTGCACACCCCGACCCGTGCCTTGCTGCGCTGCTCGGAGCCCAGGGCGCTTTGCTTGCAAGAATTGCCTCTGTGACAGGAGTTTATGTAATTATTCTGCTGCCTAAAAGCCCTGGGATCTGGTGCACGTGCTCACTGATAACGCCCACAAATGTTTCTCAAGAAGGCAGAAGCCTCGGTGCCCTTCCTACCTGTCATCTGCAGCTGTTAAGGAAAAATGTTACCCCGAATCTCAAATGTAATAAATTTACCATTTATCCACGCGGGGTCCTGACCTTAAGAGGGTTTAAAAAGGGAACTTAAATGCATAAAACTAATGAAATTCAAAGTCCATGTTGCCACAGTAATAGGAACTCAGATGAAAATAAATATTAAAACAGCACTTTGGGAATTTGCAGGCTGAAATCCCGTTCTTGCAAGGCGGAACCACGCAATAAAGCAAGGCAATAAGGGAGGAACTGAGCTGCTCCAGGCTGAAGAGCAAAGAGCAGCACTCGCACGCCGTGCTGGGTTTGGGCTGGGTCGGTTCCTGATCCAGGAAGGCGAGTGGAAACGGCGCAGTTAGGCGGTTATCGCCCCATTTTGCAGCTGGCGCCAGCAGCACTCACAGCCTGCCTAATTTAGCTCGAGTGCCTTCCTCATCAAAACAGAAAGTGGCTCCTCTCCTCCACCCAGGTGCAAGGAGGTGCGGGCAGCAGCCCCCCGGCGATGTACAACCACCCTAGGGGGTTCTACTGGCCACGTCCGTGCTGCCTTGCTCCAGCCCTTCTACCCCAACACCCCCTCCAGGGGTCCGGCCCGAGGCAGGGCACCTCTCCTGGGCAGATGCCAGGCTGCTAACCGGTCCCAAAGGAAGCCCCCTGCAGTGCTGCTCACAAGGAATTGCACTGAGGTGCCTTAATGAGGCAGGATTTCACCCATCTGATGGGGGCTGTTTGGCTTTTGCACAACCCTAATTGTTTAATCAGAGCACCGGGCAAAGCCAAACGTCTCCGCAGACTCCAAACATTCATCGCCACTTTCACTTTCATCGAGAGTTATAATTTTGTCCAGGAAAAAAAGAATCAAGTGCCTTTGACTGGGCTCATTAAGAATTACACCACCGAGGTTTCCATTTATTCCACTGCCCACTAATGAGTTATCAATAGGAGGTCAGACGAGCGGTTCTGCTAATCCCCTGTGCCAGAGCCCCCCTGCCTGGTGGGGAGGAGGGTGGGCAGGGGGAGCCCCATCGGGACCACGAAGAGCATAATAAAGGCTGGGGGCAGAACAGCTCGCCACAAACCCCGCTCAGCGATGCACCATGTCACAGCGCCTCTGATTTATTTATTTATTTTTCACCTGTCTGGTTTTTCCCCTCAGTAAAAATGTCAGCTTTTCATTGAAGTAACAAGAATCGGGGAGGCTTTAGAAATAAAGCACTATTTACAGCCAAAACAAATGTTAGACTCGCAGCATGCCGGTTAAAGTTCAATTTCATAAAAAAATGATTTGCCGTAAGCCCAACTTCTGACAGCACGGCAGCTTCTGTGAAGAGATGTCATCAGCTTCAGGAAAAGATGAAAACAACACGATAAAACAGCACTGGATTGCCATCCCTTCCCATTAAATCGGCACAGCCTTCTTGTCTGGGAATTCCTCGCTTTAAGCAGAAGGGAATTTGCTCTAATTTAACTCAAGGAGGCTCATTGCAGCCACTAAATTTTTGCAGACGAGACCCAGGCCTGAAACCAGTATCCCAAGGTGCATCAACGGGTCCTTGGCACGCAGCTTTGCCACCGCTGCCAGCACCTTTGCTGTCAGGCTGTGCACTAATGACATACAGAAAATGGACACCGAGGCTGTTAACGCAGCCTGCCTGCGGCGCCTTACGTGGGAAGCTCGGAGAGAAGAGCAGCAGCTCTCCCCTAGCCCCAGCCCCTACCTGTCACTGCTCACCCTGCTGGGCACCATCTCCCACCTCCGCAGCAGGAATCCTGTCCGCGGGGGGCTCCGAAGCACTGGGTACGTCTGTGGGAGAGAGCTCCCAGCCTCAGATCCGCACCGATGATGAGCGAGCGGGGACGAGCAAGTCTCCTGTGCTAGCAGAAAAAAAGAGGGACCCCAAGTGACTGTTCCCCTGCAATAAAACCAAGGTGAGGAGAAGAAACACCCAGAGGAAGGCATGAGAGGGGGAAACGTGCAGATGCTTCCAGCCGCAAGATGGAGGCTTGGTTAACAATCAGGAATCGGAGCTGCTCTGCTACGAGCACAGATTTGACCTACTTGGTTTGACTGAAACCTGATGTGAGCACTCACGTGGCTGATTTTAAGAATGGGTGAACAGAGCCTATTTAGGAAAGAAGAGGTAGCTGAACAGGAGGGGAATCGCACTCTAGGTGAAATGGCGCCGGTTTTGAGTTGCTTGTGGCTTAGAGAAAAATGATTTCTAGTGCCTATGGTTCAGCACAGGAATCGTGTAGGATAATCCCAAATTTTAGTCGGAATGTACTACCTATTGCCAGGTCAGATGAGAAAACAGGGCGTGCAACCTTTCAGTAGGTAAACAGAAGAACTGCCTGACAGGGAGGGCCTACGGTCTGGGCTTTGTGCACCAAAAACCTCCCAGTAGCGCTGCTGAAACATCTGCAGAGCTCAGGAACATTGCTGCCGACAGCTCCACGGCTCTGAAGGCTCCGCGTCTGACACGGGGAGGTCTGGACTAGACTGCTTGGACAAAAAAAAAAAAAAAAGCAGTTACAGAATTAAAAATCAGCACTGTCTTAAATACAGCTGCCCCTGGCTCAATTACGCTGCTGCCCACACCCGATGAAGTCCAGGCTGGAACTGGAGGGTTTACAACCAGCGAATGCCACAACACAATTCTGCTCCAGAGAGGTCAGGGGGAAAAGACTGCAGAAGAGAAGACAAGAAACGGTGACTGGGAACTGTCAGAAGGGATTTTAGTAGATGCTAACACATGCACTCTCGTGAAAGGTCGTGGCGTGTAATGAATTACTTTTGTGAGCAGTGGAAAAACCCAGTTCTCCTGCAGCTTCGTGCTCCAGGGCTGCTCAATCCCTGTCAAGTAAGATGCAACTTGTGCCAGGCACCCTTCCTGGGACTGAGCACCACAGGCAGTGCCTCTCCCCATGCTTTAGGACGTGCTCTAGCTCCTGCACAAGGATTCCCTTCACTGGGGCAACCATTTGGGCCCCCCAAATGCCTTCCTTCATAGCCCAGACAGGGACACCCCATCCCTGCGTGACCCCAGCCCAATGCACCAGCCCAGAGACCCTACCGGGAGAGTAGGGTCATCATAAAAACCATGTAATTTATAAAGGATGGGGACAGCCTTGAAAATACCGTGCCTGCCAGAAGTGGTGAGCGTGGTGGGCAGAGCACACGTCCAAGCAGCACCTCGCCCCTCCGCCCCCACGCGCTTGCTCGGCTTACATTTCCCAGCTCATGCCCCACAGGAAAACCCAAGACCTTTGTCTTGTTCAGAAGCTGAACCGTGGCACGTAACTAAGGGATTTTTATGGCACATGGTTTCCGATAGCTTATCTTGTAAATCTGCAATTACACGAGTCCCCCTCTCGAGTCGCTCTGATTTTAACAGCAGCCACGTGAGCGACTCTGGGGCTGTCGGCCGGTCCCGACGGCAAGGCAGCATCCAACTTCAGCACCAAAACTGCCACCAGGGACTTGAAGTGACAGTGACCAGGTCAAACACAGCTTCAGTATATTCCCAGGATGGAAAAAACAAATACACGACTACTGCAGGATTTAGATTTAAATCAAAGAATCTCGGTGAGAAAGGTTGTTAAAAAGAAGTTAGAGGCAGCAGCTGAAAGGGTTAGAAAGGAAAGTCTCCGTGGCTAAGAAGGCTACAGGAGCAAAAAACAAACTTTCAAAAACCAGAAGCTTTATCTTCGTGAGGAAAAACCCAAAACCAAACAAATTCTGGCAAACTGCATTTAAAATGCTAATAAAACATAGAGAGAAGCCCTTGAGAAACAGCTTGCAAACTGGGCCAAAAAATGGAGAATTTCTAAAACTTCAGAAACTGGAAACCTGCCGGAGAACCTATCAAGCCGGAAGATGATTGAGTTGCAATAGAAATATTCAGGGAACACAAGAATGAAAGAGAAGATGAATCCAAGCTTTGCAATGCTGTTGGCTGAGGAGAAATTTAAGGAGGTCCCTGCATCAGAAGTGTTTTATACACAGGGTTAGTCTGAAACACTGCCTCAAGAAAAGTGTCAGTAGGAGAAACGTTAGGACAAAAATCAATGAAATGAATAATAACAAATCACTGGGGCTCGGCAGGACGCACCTACGAGTTCTTCAGGAAATCAAATACAGAACTGCTGAGCTGCCAGCGTGCTGCACGACCGATTGCTTCAATCAGTGCCAGCAGCACAAGCGGGAAGTGCTGAACACGCCACCCATCTCCAGCAGGGCTCGGCGGCTTCTGGGGCAGCACAACGCAGGATGGCTGCGTGCACCCGCCAGGCAGCTCACACCGCAGTCAGGGACCGGATCGGGAGGCACGTGGAGGAACAGGCCCAATGGCAACCAACAAGCTCTCCTAAATTCACAGCTCATGGATCCGGAGGATATTGGTGGAGAAGTCAAGGCACAGGTGAGGTGGACGGCTTGAGAGGGGCCCTTCTGCTTGCAGACAGCTTTTGGCAAAGTCAAAGGATCTTACAAAGAAAGAATGAAAGAACAAAAGAAGTAAAACATCATCAAATAAGAGGAAACGGTCTTGTGGATTACCAGCTGAACAAGGCCTAGGAAGCTGAGCACGGAGGTGAATGGTCAGGTTTTGACAAGTGGTGATACAGAGTGGGAGAAATGGGGTGTGCTCAGAAACGTCCTGGGAGGGAGGCAGACAACGAAGGGACAAGTTTGCTGATCTACACAAATTTATTCAGCGTATTCAAAGATGAAACTGAATGCCAAAAGCTTCAGAAGGCTCTCCTGAACTTGATGTCTCGTAACGGCGTGACAGGTGACATCCAAGGTCAGGAAATGCAGAGCGATGCACACGAGATGAGACAGCCACAGCCACGCGCAGCAACGGGCTCCGAACGAGGCACTGCCACTCTGGGAAGAGTTCTTGGAGCTGTTTTGGACAGTTCTCAGAAAATGTCAATTTAATGCTCATCAACAAATATAGAACGTTCTCAAAAAAAAAAAAAAAAAGATACACAATTAAGTTATTTTGGGAAAATCACATTCTGGAAACCAATTCAAACAGAAGAGCAGAGGCAGCCTGCCTGTTCCCTTGACTTGCTGCTGGCTTTCCCCCCCCTGGAGAGCGGCACAGAAGTCTGTTTTTGCAAGGCTCCCTTTTGAGCTGCAGGCTTGATGCAGTCAAGGACCTGGAGGGGTTTCTGCAGCTCTTGGCCTGCCGTGGGGAAGTGCCCCAATGGGGATAGGGGCTCGCTGCTGCCGGGCACTGAGGGACCTGTGTTCATGGTCCCTTCCACAGCCCCCCTGGCAGCAGTGGGTTCGTATCCTGTCACTCAGAAGCCAGGAAGGCTGCAGGGACCTTTTTTGGATGAGTTCCACCTGTGCTCCAAAATTAAAAGCTGATGCAAAAAATGTATCATTATCCATCTCCATGACAGCTCGAGTCAACTGAGCTGAGCTCGGCATGAGAAACAACATTCATTTCAGGCACAAAAAATAGGAAGAGAAGCACTCCTAAAAAAAGAGGCAGTAATGACTTACCAGAAAGGAACCAATGTAGATTTTTAGAGAAAGGAAAGGAAAGCTTCCTAAAACAGCCCCGGTGCCTCCGATACAAGAGGCAATGAGGATGGCGTGCTGCGGGGAGGCACAGCTCCGGGTAGCTGCAGCGAGCCCCAGCCTGAGAGCCCGACTGCTGGCCTCCTCCTCTGTGCCCAGGCAAACAAAGTGCTACACCCAACATTTCTGTGTGTGCCTCTGTGAAAAATCCCCCCTGCACCATCCCGCAGCTGTGTCTTTGCACCTCGCAGCACCTCCTCCGTCACGGAGTCATCCCCTCGACTTTTCCCGGTGCTGTTCAGGTCCTCAACCAGCCTCGGTAGCCTCAGGGTACCAGGAGAGCTGACGCCTCGTGTGGAGGAGCCATCGGGAGCAGAGAGCGTTTGGGCACGAGACTGAGCAGGCAGGGATCGCCCCGTGCCCCCCGTGACTGCTGCAGGGCTGTTTGCCCACCTCAGGGCAGCGCTGTCACCATCCTCACGGCCCTCCTGACCGGCCGCCAGCCCTGCAGGACTGGTAAAGCTCAAGGCGAAGGAGTTTGCTCACTGGGAGAACTGGATTCCAGATGCAGCCGCCTTATTGCTCCACAAAGCAGCCATTTGACTTGGTCTCCATGCTTCGAAGAAAAAACCCCACATGATAATTTGTTAATTCAGAGTGCTTTGGATCGCATTGCTAGTTAATAATAAATAAAATTAAGCTGGCAATTATTGACACCGGTTTGATGAAACCGAGTTGTACAGCCAAGAGGAATCAGATCCTAATCTAATAACCAGTGCAGCTCGGAGATGCTTCCAGACAAGAAAGGCAGATAAGGCAAAGTACAAGAGGAATACCGAGGGAGTTGCTTGAGTTTTCTCCCGGAAGTGATGTTTCTGGATACCTTTTTTCTCCCAGGGTAAGGTGAACAATGGCTCATGACTTAGGAATATGGGACCATTGTCCTGGTTCAGCAAGACCTGATGTTCTATCATAATTTGGCGTAACCAGTCAAAACCTAGCCTAATAAAGGTAACGAGGGGTAAGCAGGCTTTGGCTGCTCTGAAAAAGGGCCACATGGGGAGTCCAAAGCACAGGGATGCCCAGGTGCCACCTGAGCCCCAGGCACGGACCTAGCACTGAGAGGAGAGCAGAACACGAGGTGCACTCGGGGCACCCCAAATGTGATGCACATGGAAACAACCTGCCCTGCCCTGCTCTCCACCTGCAGGATTTCCAGGCAGACACAGCTTGCAGAAAGAGGGGACAGGGAGAAGGCTTGGAAAATTCCACTCTTTGGGACTAAACAGCCGCCCTACCTAAATGAAACGGGTCAGGCAGGGCAGGCGCTGAGCAGCACAGGATGCTGTACAGCGATGTAAGCTGAATCCAGCGCTGCCTCCTCGCGCAGACCAGCACCAGGAGTATTTATGGCCCCGACACGACGTGCTCCAGCGCTATCTGCTGCAGACATCTGCCACCTTCGTATCGGCGCGGACGCAGCCCGCAGGTCTGCTCGGGGAGCAGGCGGACATCCAGCTCCCCACGCTCCTCAGTGCTGCTGGAAGGCAGTGAGAAGAGCAGAGCAGAGCAGGTCGGCAAGGGCAGCAGGCCAAGGAAGCGTTTCCCAGCCCTGCCAGCTCCTCGCCCTGATGACGGTGCAGTTTCCATGCTGGGAGCGGGTGAAAGGAACCCAAATTCCAGCGGCTCATCATCGGTGGGCTGGAGACAAAGCTGATAGGGAGGTGAGTGAAAAATCCACACGTTTCAAAGAGAACATGTCCTAGAGGTGGTGCTACCAGGACAAACAGGACCGTGGGCACACGCACCTGGCAGCCCTCGCCCCGATCACCTGCATTTTCCTGATACGAGACACATTGGGCTGAAAACCAAGAAAATACAACATCTTACCAAAAAAATCCATCCAAATTCTGATCTGCCAGAGGAGGGAAGAGAGGATTAATGTGATTCTGCTCCTTTCTTTTGTGCTGGAGAAGAGAGCCCAGGAAAAGCTCGCTGGAGCTCAAGCAGTGGCTGACCACACTTCTCCTGTAGCCCTGCACACCACCAGCACAGGTCAGGGCAGCGAGCTCAAAGTGCCATGGAAAGCAGCACTGTGCTATGGGTTCTTGAAGCAGGGACTCAACTGATGCCAACGGCGCAACACCCACTGCACAACTAAAGCCAAAAAAAGGACCTGCTCCATGCCAGGCTCGGGGTACATCAGGACAGGAGTGCCAGCCCCACACCGCCTACTACCTCTTTCCATGGGGACTTCTTGGGCAAGCCACTGGGGGACGAGGCTGTGGGCAAGTGGCACAGGTCAGGATCTGTGCGCCAACCTGCTGCCACCCGCCGTGACACCATGGCAAACCCACAGCAAGCAGGTACCTGGTGGCAGAGCTGCTCGGGGTGGGCTTCAGCCCAAAAAACTAGCTAAAATCCAGCCTCCCACCTCAGCACTGGGCGCTCATCACACGGCCTGGCAGCACTGCAGGCGTACCTGAGAAGGCTTCAAGGCATTGGCACTTATTTTGCCAGTTGGCCTTGGAGAGTAGTTTATAAAGAAAATAAAAAGAAAGAAAAAAGAAAAAAAAAAGACCCCCCCAACCAAATAACGATTCGTCTCCCTAAGAAGATTAATAGGTGCATTTAAAGAAATCAGTCTGTAGGCTTAATGAGAAAGAGGCAGCAGAATCCTAAATGTGAGACCTCCTACGGTTTTTCAGTCCAGCTGTACAATCAAATAATAGTTTATGTAACTGGGATTGGAACAAAATAAATTAAAAGTAATTTCATGTTTCATCAAAGGAAAAAGTACAGTTCATAGTCAACGTGGAAAAAGATCTAGCTCGGAACTGCATTTTCCCCAACCCTTTCATAAGCTTCGCATTACCAGCTGATTTGTTTCTTTCAAAAAAGCAAAGCAAATTACCAAGTCCCTTAAGAACTTACTATGCATTTTCAAATTCCAACTAGTCCTACTCTGTAACTCATAGCTTCACATATCAGTCACTGAAATGTTTTCTTTAGGAGATGAAAGAAAAAAATATGCTATGCTTTTCCTGTTTTTCCCATGCTGCAGTTTGTGTTGCCTTTTTTTTTTCTGGTAAAGAAAAAAAATATGTTAACAGCTACAACATGTCAATCTTTGAAAGTAATTCCCATATATAGTTTCATCCCTTCACAGACATTAAATACAGCAAAATCTCGTTGTGCTCCTCACTGTCTCGGCTGACGAAGGGAAGCAGCACCCTACAGGCTCTTTCCCATGTGGGGGAGCCCGCTATGGACCCAGGTGTGCTGACAAGAGGGACTGGGAACCCTTTGAATTCATTAAACAGCATAAGAGGACACCTAACATTGACTTGATGTTCACGTACGGCTCCCAAGGAGCAGAGCACCCTGAGGAGGACAACCCCAAGAGCACGTCAGGGGAGGTCACGCACACTGAACACCCCCCAACAAAGCTCAAACTCAGTGCTCCTGCTCCCAGCGGGATGAAAGGCAAAATGCTGCTCAAGGGGAAGTCAAAACCAGGTCCAAAGGCGTCAACTTCTGGCCTCCTGAAGTCCCTCCATCCCGACAGGCCGGCATACATTTCTGTGGCTGCACCATCCCGGGCCTGAGTAGGGCACACCAACTCCAGGCCGACCACATTTCATCACGTCTGTGCCCACGTCACTTTGGCCCAAGGCATTTTTTTCTGTGGCTTTCAGAGGAACTGACAAACCCTCCTCTGGAAGCTTTCTGGAGCGGCCACGCCACGGCCTGTGGTGCTGGCAGGCCCCGAAGCCAGGTGAGGAACCTCACGGCCCCCACCTGCCCCCAAACACTCGGCCTTCGGCGACACAGACGGGTCTCTGCTTCGAGTCAGACACCGTGTGCTGCCTCCTGGCCACGTGAGGGCTGTGGAGAGAGGAGGAGGCCTGCAGGAGGCTCTCCACCTGCGTGCCCTGCTGCAAAAACCATGAAGACGGCGGGCACAGTGGGCAGCAGGCTGCACCTCTCCGCTCTTCAGGGAGGAGACAGAGCTCCTCGTGGATCAGAGAAACCCCTGCGTGACCATGATGCTTGGTGGAAGGCTCGGTGTCCTTGAGACATCCCTTCCTCACCTCCTGCCCCACCTCCAGCAGCGTTGCTGGTGGCAGGAGAAGGACCGGGAGCGGTCAGCGGCTGCCCCCGGCCCCCCATGGCTTCTCCTCGTGCCTCCTTCTGGAAGGTGCCTCGTTAAACACACGCACATTTTTCTTCTCCAGACAACGGCCCAGAAGTACAACTAAATCATTGCTGACAAAAGAGAACACGCCGAGCTCCTTAATCACATCCTCGTGGAGAACAAGGCCAACGCCAACCCCTCGTCTGCTGCGCAGCGCGGAACCGCAGCTCGGAGCCTGAGGGAAGCTGCACATTTCGGGAGGTGAAGCTGTTATTTAAGCCTTGTGCAGTCACATATCCCGTCACACCCCTGGGCAGGCTTCCTACACTCGGTTATGTTCAGCATTCACATCCGTTTGCTGTCATTGAGCTAGCTGCAACAACCCAGCTCTGGGTTTTGCTCTGCCTGCCTTCCTAAAGCCCCTCAGCAGCCCGGGCCGGCGGCCAGGCTGTGTCACACTGCTGCTTTCCTGCTCAAGCCACGCTGGGATGCCTTTAAAAAAAAAAAGAATGAAAGGAAAAACAACACACGGACACGCACAAAAAAGTCTGCATTTGGCAGCAGCTGCCCCTGACACGGTGGTACCGCTCCTCTGCCTTCTGGGGAGCCCTCCACAAGCAGGGAGCCGCTGCCTCCTGCCCCAGCCCAGACAAGATGCTGAGTCTACCTTCGACAGCAAGCACGTGCTTGTAAGCTGTAAGAGGCCAGGCACCAGCAAGATACCACACCAGCAGGGCAGCGAATTCCCTGTCCCCATTAAATCTCAGCAGGTGGAGCGAGGACCCTCCCAGGAACACGCTGCAGCTCCTCCTGCAGACCCCGCGTAGCACAAGAAGCAGGTTCCCATTGCAGCACACCAGAAAAGGAAGCATCACTTGCACCCCGTCGCGTTTGCCTTGGAAGGTGCACCCGACAGGCTCGGGGACGAAGCTGCTGTTGCTGCAGGGCGGGGAGGAAAAGAAGCTGAAAAGAAGCCACGAGAGGCGTAAAAGCAGGGCTGCTGGAGGGAAGCACAGAACGGGCTGGGTTGGAAGGGACCTTAAAAACCATCCAATTCCCACCTGCTGCTGCAGGCGGCTGCAGCTGACACAGCCTGCCCATCACGGCGAGAAGCAGCCCGGTGGGATCCCTGACAGAGCAAACATTTCGACTTGGTCAGCCCAGTAAGCCATTCCCTGCTCCCTTTTGGTTCCACTCAGGTGGGTTTTATAGGCTTGAAATATTACACGGCTGGTTTTCCCCTCCTCACCCGGCCCCAGCCCCGCTCCCCTCAGCCCTCCAAACATCCTACACCAAATGAAGTTGTGCTCTCTGATTGCAGGAGCGTGGCAAGCTTCTCCAGAGCGCCAGCCTTAGGGTCAGCAAAGAGCCAGAGGAACGCTAGGTTAATATAGGGGAAAAGGCAGGCCCCGCTGCAGGACGTGCCAGGGATGCCTCCGTCACAGACTCGCTTCGTGGCTTCGTTTCTAGCACCGTCGTGTTAGAACAGACACTGGCTGCGTGTCTGTGCCAGCCTGTGAAAAGCGTCTCTGTGTAAATGGGGAAAGTTGCTCTCTCTTATTTCTGTTAGATTGCTGCTAGGTACATCCCCACCACCCAGCACCCGGGGTACTCGCTGAGGGCAGTGCCCAGCACGCTCAGGGGAGCTGCCATACAGGCAGCACAGAGCACCTCAGCTGCACGGCTGTTTGTTTTTTCCCAAACTTGAGCTGTTTTCGCCAATTCGGAGCACTTCTCACAGCCCTGATGCTCTTTCCTCATCCTGGTCCTTGCACCAGGCTCCACCGGCTGCCAAGGGCCAGTCCTTGGGACCCCAGCAACCCCAAGGTATTTGCGAGCTGGGACCAGCCCAGCTCAGCCCCACGCACCGAGCTCATCTCATCCCGTGTGCTTTGGGGTGTGTGCGGAGCAGCAGAGCGGGACGGGCTGCTGGGACAGGGGGAAGTTTCCTGCCTGAAGGCGCCCACCCCCGCTTTGTGTCCTCCCAGGGCCTGGCATCCACCTCCTCGAGCGATAGCGGCGGGCGCTGCAGCCTCTGCTCCCCGAAAGCTCCGCGTGCTGCTGGATGTGACCACGGGAACCCAACCCCAACCCCACAGCGGGGTTGAGGGTGCCTCCCGGTTAGGGTGCGCGGGGTCTGGCTGTGCTTTTGGGGCCGGCGCCGAGCAGGCGTTGCCGACCCCACGCTCCCTTTGGGGGACGCGCTGCTCCCTGCAGCCTCCCCACGCACACACACAGCCCCCGGCCCTAATTGCGGTAATTAACGGCGGGGGGGGGCAGCTCCCCGCGGGCAGCTGCTGCCCACCCCGGCGTTTTCGGGCGGCCTCAGCGGGCGCCGCTCGCGTCTCGCCCGGCAGCAGCAGCCCCCGCGCCCGGCTCGGCTCCCCCGGTCCCCCCCGGTCCCCCCGGTCCTGACCTGGCGGCGGGCGCGGAGCCTCCCGGGCGCTGTCCGGCGCCGCCCGGTGCTGAATGCGGCTGGGCGCTGCCGGGGGCGGCGGCAGCGGGCGGCGGGGCCCCGGCGGCGGCGGCGGCGGCGGCGGCGGCGGAGGGGGGCAGGGGCCCGTCGGCGCCGCCGCCCTCCAGGCTGGCCTCGTTGCCCATGGCGGCCGGGCGGGGACCGCTGCTCAGCGCCGCGCCGCCGCCGCCGCCATCAGCCCCGCGCCGCCATCGCCGCCGCCGCGCATGCGCCGCCCGCCAAAGCGCGCGCGCGCGCCCCCTCGCGGAGGCCCCGCCCGGCGGCGGGAGATGGGAGGGGAGGGGCGGAGCTCGGCCACGCCCCCCGCCGGCCCGGCGGCCAATCGGAGGCCGAAGGGGCCCGCCCGGGAGGTCACGCGGCGGCGGCCAATCAGGCGCGCGCTCCGCCCCGTGAGGTCACGCGGACGGCACGGGCGGCGGGCCAATGGGCTGCCGGCTTCGCTATCCAGCCGCGGGGCAGCCAATGAGGTGCGCCGTGCTGTCTGAGGTCACGGGGTGCCAGCCAATCGCTGTACTGCTCCCCGTGAGGTCATGGGCAGCACCAGTGCTCCCACCTGCTGTCCAATGGCAGCCCTGCTGCCCTGCCCTGCCAGCCAATGAGCATCCTCCTCCCCGTGACATCACACTCCGCCACCCAATGAGCACCCTGCTGCCCCGTGAGGTCACCGTGTGACGTCACAGCCCCTGTGCTGACATCACAGAAGGAGCAAACGCGTTTATTGTGCAGGAAAAGGGGAGAGGGGAAGGGGAAAAGGGGCTGTGCCCGCAGCCAGCCTCCTGCCCGCCGCTCCCCCATGGCTCAGTGCAGGAAGCCGTCCAGCCGCGCCTGGCTGCTGCTGCGGGACGCGGGGGGAGCTGCCGCCCCCGGCCTGGAGCCGTTCTTCTTCTTGCTCCTCACCACACAGGGCCGGAGGGCTGCGGGGTCGGTCTGAGGGGAAAAGGGTCAAGGACAGCACACAGCGAGGCCACGGGGACAGAACAAAGCGGTACCTGTGCCAGGCTAGCTCGAGACACAGCCCTGGGAGCCAGCCCTGGAGGTGCAACCCCAAAAGCATTTGGGAAACGCCCTCGTTAAGGTGCTTCAACAGCAGCAAACCCAGCTGTGGTTGAGCTGTAAGGTCCCGACCAGCCCCTAGTTGTGGCACAGAAGGAAGATGCTCGCTCCGTGCTAACAGAGCTGCAGGGTTACACAAACCAGCGCCCCCGGAGCAGTTGGGTTTAGGGCAACCTCTCCTCCAGCAGCAGCCCAAGGCCTCCAGGCACCCTCCAGGCCAGGCACAGCGGTATCCCCCAGGAACGAGGGCTGTAGCTGCACAGGCACAGGGCAGGGAGAGGCTGTGCTAAGCAGCAGCTCGGAGACCACAAGGGCACAGGCAGTCCCTACAAACTGCTCTGATTTCTAGCTGCCAGGTCCTTCCCAACAAACCTTCCCCCTGTAACATTCACAGCAAGTTCAAGGCCTGGATGCCTTTGCTGAGCTCAGACACATTCAGTCAGATGTAGAGAAATGTGATGGTTCCTTGGGGGTCCCAGGCTCTAAGCAGGGAGTCCTGCACCAGTCAACCGAGCTGGCTGAGACAGGAGGAACACAGGAGGGCCCCCAGAGCATCACTACTGCCACAGGGAAGGATACAGGCTGGATGAACTTTGTTCTGCCTCCCAAGCCGTCGTACCCCATCCTCACCTAGGAGAGAGAAATAAACGTGACTGGAACAGCAGCACGGAGCCGTGGCTACTTCTTGTCTTGAATAAGAAAAGTGGGAGCCTCCCAGGCCACGTGTTCAGGGGAGGTTACAAGCACCTGCAGGCACTCAGGACACTCAGCAGTTGCACTAAGGCCTTAGCTTTGGGAAAGGGCAGCCCCTCAGGGAAGTCTGGGGACCTTCCTGAAGGAAACTCAGCCTTCCAGGTTGCCGCAAGGCTTAGGATTTTGTCACTGGGACTGAGTCGTACAAGGAAAATACCCAAAGCTCCAAGGAGGTGGAAGAAGGGGATGTGGAAGGCCACTTAATCCGCTGCCATGCAGGGAGTGACCATCTGTCATCCCTGGAGCTCTGCAGGGCTGGGAGGCAGCCAGGTCGTGCTCCAAGATTTATTTTCCCCACGCTGAATGCAGCAAGGTGGAAGCCTGCGTTCAATCCTGTGGGGTACCCTCGGGACAGAGGTGTGCAGTGCCAGGCGGCCGTACTCACCGTGCCTGTGTTCTTGTGGGAACCCAGCAAGCTGCCCGGTGTCAGCTTCTTGGAGTGAACAGAGTTCCTGATGAATGCTGGCAGCAGCCCTTTAAGAGCCTCATCCTCCAGATCATCTGCCCTGTTCTGTCCCACAAAAATAACGAGAGAAGCCCTTTAACCAGCAGGACCTGCTGAATTTAGTCCACACACAGGCAGCGCTAACAATGCGGGCAGCTACTTGGGGTAACAGGCACCCCAAAGCACGTCAGGCCAAAGAACAGAGGCTCCACACCTCCCACCGGGGCTCGTTTGGAGCAGTGCCTGCGAGGCAGGACGCCGTGCCCCATAAACCTGGGCACAGAGCCCCCCAGCTGACCCCGTGGCTGCTCTGATCAGACCTACGCTGTGCATTCGCTAAGCGCATCTGAGGCAGGACAACCGGCAAGGAGTGCGTGCGTCCCCACCCTCCCTCTCCTGCCCGGCTCCAGCTCTGTGCGCCAGCAGTACGGTGTTTCTAGGAGACAGGCGAGCAGAGCACTTTGAAGTGTGTGCTGTGGCTCTGCAGATGGGCTGGCCTCTGCTTAGAGCATCTCCTGCGTAGGAAAACGGGGCCTTTATCTCAAGCTCGTTAACGGCAGAATCGAAGAGGTGATACAGAAAACAGGATCAGTCCATTTACCTCCACTGTTTCCTTCAGAACTTTCTTTGCCAGATTTACCACGGGAGGCCTGCAAGAAGCACAAGGAACAAATCAGAGGAGATTCATTGTTCAAGTGGAGCTGGCAAGGACAGACAAGGCCGAGCAAACGATGACAAAACTTGCAGTGCGACACCAGGCAGCTGGAGAGCTGTCTGATCCCACACAGCAACTTCCAAAGCAGCGAGGCTTTGATCTCCTTTAGAAGCAGGAAGAGGAGGGCAAACTCACGGCTTTTTATCCAGCTTCTGCCTTTTCGCAGGGCTGAAGAGAGATTTGCAGGGCTGATTTTCGGGGGTGTCCACATCAAAGGTGGCATCTAGATCGATCTCGTCGCTCTGGGCCGGGCGGTGGAGCTTCGGGTGCCGCAGTTCCACGGGAGCAGGGCTGCAAGGCCACGCAGAGCAGCAGCCATCAGGAGGCTGCCACGCAGCAGACGAGAGGGAGACACAGCTACAAGCCCCCCTGGGGAGCTGCACCACAGCAGGACCAGCATCCAAACCCCGCTCTACTCCAAGTCCCCAAATGGAAAACCCAACCCCAGGCTTTATGGTCAATGTCCCAAAGTGCTGTTTGACCTCTGAAGGCCTGTGCTCACAGCAGCAGCACCCTGAGCCCAGGGAAACACACCGGCCCGCTGGTGCTCAGCGTACACAGCCCAGTTTGCCATACTGGGGTAAGAGCACTCGCTGCCAGAAAGAAAGGGTGTGATAAAATGTAAAGGATGCCATTTTCAGGCCCAGCCTCAATCAGTCTGGACTCCTGTGTGACAAGGATCTCAGGTCCCTGTACATCAGGGCGTGCTTGCTGGAAGGCCAACTCTGAGACAGCAGCTTTGGGGATATCTCCCTGGCTGGGGAAATATCCTTGGCCTGTATGTCAGGATGAACTTTGCTGACCTTTCGAAGACCAGTCGGCTGAGCGTCTCCCTGGTCACAGATGGCACTTTCAGAGTATCCTGCAGGATGTCTATCTTCTTCTTCAAACTCTGGAGGGAGGAGGGAAAGCAGACAGTGAGCTAAGGGAAGATTTAGGAGCAGGTACCAGCAGCCCCTCACCCATAAATCAGCACTGGGAGGAGATCAGAGGTGGAGCAGGTAAGGGGTAAGCTGGGCTAGGTAACCTAGCCCCTGGGCAAAAGCCAGCACAACTCCTGGCTGTGCAGCTGCAGGCCATGGCCAGCTGCCAGTTACTGCAGACTAAAAACCAATATTCTCACCAAGATCTCCTTGTCTGCATTCTTCAAATCCTTCTGGGTGCTTTTTAACTCCTCCTTTGTGTTCTCCAAGTCTGAAACAGTTCTCTGCAGCTGCAGAAAAAAGCAACACTGGTTCCAGCACGCGGGTAAGGGCAACAGGTCCCCGGCAGAGCAGGATGCCCTGCAGCACGTGCTCCTCTTCCCTGCTTTTGGTTTTCCAGTGCCAACCTCTGACCAGGCTGTCCTACACCAGAGCCATCCAGTGCCTGCTCATTCCCTAAAGCTGCCTGCAGAGGGATCTCCAGGGCTGCGTGCCCAACGCAAGCCTTCCCACAGCCCTTCTGCCTGGTGGTGACAGCTTTCCCGTGTTTTAACGCTTGGCGGCTCCAGCCTGGATTCCTGCAGGGCTCTGCACGCAGCGGATCCCAGCACCAGCAGCCCCAGGCCGGGCGGTGGCCGTGCATCAGCGGCACTGGCACACGGACAAACCCGAGGCACCGGGAGGGCACCAGGAGCCGGGGGCTGAGAGGTGGGCTGGCACCACCACAAAGGACTGGAAGTGGGGTCACGAAGCGACGGCACTGTCAGCTTGCTGGCAGCCAAGCCCGGAGCACGCTGACTCGCATCTTGACCCAAGAAAGCCACTGCATTTTGGCACAGACTCGGCCAGAACCAGGGCAATGGCAGCACCCCACGTTAAGGGGTTAACCTGCCTGGGGAGCAGCTCAGCAATCCAAGAGCCTTCTTCCCAGTTTGATGGGACCACAACAGCTATGTCTGGGGAACAAAAATAGGCCAAATCCACCCACAGTCTCTCACTTTGTGAGCTTGGACTTGGGTGCACCCCAGGGAACACCTGCGCCTCGGAGAGCAGGGCTACACACCAGCTTTTCAAGGGGACGTGCTTCCAAAACTGACACAGGGATCCCTGGCCTGGGCTAACAGAGCCCAGGCAGCCCTGGAACAGGGGCAGCACAGCAACAAGGGGCAAATCTGCAGCTCCGAGCTCTGTGCCAGCTCAGCTCAGAGCAGCGCTAGCCCAGGGAGGCTCTGTGCAAGCCCCGTGTGTGTCCTCACATTTTGGGAACCTCTCCTGCTTGGACCCAGCACCACGCAGGAGCCCTGGCCAGCCTACTTCAGCCCAGTCCAGCGGGGGGTTCATTGGGGTTGTGCCGAGCCAGGGCTACGCTCTGCATGGCTGGTGCTGGCTCAGACCTCTCCTTCCCACCCTTCCTAGGGCCCCGATGCTGCAGCACAAGGAGCTGGGGGCTGCACAAGCTGCTGGAGCCCAGGGGAAGCAGCAAACCCCCGCCTGCTGCTGCCTTCCAGGCCAGGCCCCCTGCCAAGCACTGTCTGGCTCTGCCCTGCTGATGTCCCCGTAGACCACGGTGCTGGTAACAGCCCGTGTTTGCACACCGTGGCATTACACCTGACCCAGAAACCCCAGCCTGACACCTCCCTGCCAGCTGTACCTCTAACGGAGTGCCCAGCATGGGAAGGGGGCACTGCACGGGGCTTGGACCAGTTACTGGGAGGGAGCTACAGACCAGGCGCCAGCCTTGTGACTCCCACACACTCCCTGTACCTTGCTGTTGGCAGCAAACAGCTCCTTCTTCAGCTTCTCTGTCATCTCACTGGATACCTTGCGAGCCTCCTTCAAGTTCTCATATTCCCTGAAAAGAGACCAGAAGAATCGTGCTGCGTTTGCATGAAGATGGAGACAGAACTTCTCGGAGACCATTATTCTGCAGCTGCAGAACCACTGGAGAAAAGCCAGGACACAAAGTCCTGTAGGGAACAGAGCTGAGCACATCGACACCAACCAGCAGCGTGTCAAACACACGGCCTCAGAGCGGGGAGGGAGCAGGCTGCGGGGATGCCATGCCTGAGGAGAGGTTCATGAACAAATGGAAACCAGATCCAGCAACATTTCGGCTGTTGGAAGAGACGGCCAGCCAACAGAGCAGCCTCCATGCTGGCAGCAACCAGAGGACTTTCCTTTAAGTGACTTCTCAGAGGCATTACGCTATTGGCCATGCGCATTCATTTCCAATTACACCACGGGGACACTCGGCTCATTACAGCTTTGTATCGAAGCTGCAATTATTCAGCTGCCATCAGAACGGACCCAAAGAAGCCGTGGTTTTGCCCGGCAGGACCAGATGGATTTCCAGGTAGGGGATGGCAGCACTGCAGGTCCCACTTGCCGGAGCAGGTGAGGCCACAGCTGCAGGGTGCAGCGCAGCAGGGAGCACAACCCAGAGCCCCCCAGCCACTCATCTCCCCCCGGGCATGAGAGGAGAAGCGAGGGAACGATAATCACCACATAGGTGCACTGACAGCTCCGCAGACAGTTCCCATGGTGACACACGTGTCACTACAGTGACAACACGAGCGGTTCGGTGTGACAGGCTGCGATCTGGGTCCCCAGGATCTGTCGGTCACAACCCGAAGAGGCAGCAGGAGCCCTGCAGAGCCTGCGTGCCTGCCGGTGCCCAGCAGAGGGGTCTCCCCCTGCACACCCAGGATGGCACGAGCAGCCCGTGCCCACCGTGCAGCACTCACTTCTTCAGCGAGACGCAGTACACCGCAAGCTGCTCCACTGCTGCCTGCCCAACTCCCATCTCTCGGATCATCTCCTCCACTTCGGGGCGCTGGCTCTGAAGCAACAGTTCGATCCTGCATAAAAAAAATAATTACGAAAACGTACCCTCAGCTCGTGAGTCACGAACAGAGCTGGGAAGGAGCCCGCAGCCCTGCTTCCCCCAGGCAGCTCCCCCAGCCTGAGCTCCTGAATGCAGGGGTGGCAGAGAGATGCCAGGGCCCCACTGCAGGCAGGGCGTTCTGCTAGCACGACGTGGACTGGCTGGAGAAGGGGCAGCTGCACACACGTGTTGTGCACACGGGGCTGACAGAGCAGCTTCTGGGCCCCACACCCGTGCCACAACTGTACTCCTGGGCTGGGATTTGGGCTCTGCCCCAGCAGCCTCTCCAATAACAGCAGCAGCACGCAGCCACGCTCGGAGGAGTAGGGATGAGGCCGCTCTGAACACAGCTCCGTGCCCTGCTGCTATTTAGGGAGAGCAGCTGCCTGGAAAGGAAGCAGGGGCAAGAACACAGACAGGCAGAACCTGCTAACGCAGCACTTCCCAGCCTGACGGGGTAAAGGAGAAGTCACAATCTGGGTGTGAGGGGCTGGCTGTTGCAGCGAGCACAGGACCACCTCTCCCTCCCTGCTGGGGAAGGGGGGAGGCGTGCAGCCCGGCTGGGGGGGCAGCATCTCACCGCTCCATGGTTTTCAGCTTGTTCCGCAGGCGGCGGGCCTCCTCCTTTGAACTCCTGTTATCCTCCTGCTGCTGCTCCAGGAATTTCATCTGTTTCTGCAGAGAAGCGAGCGCACGCAGACCGTCAGGAGGGCTCCGGGGATTGTTAGAGAAACATCCTGGCTTATGCGCACTGCGGGCAGCTGGGAGCGTATGCTGGCTCTTAATGCTATCACCACCTCAGCAGCCCAGGATTACGGAGAGTTTATCTTCCCCCCTGCTGCACCCCTACCTCTGCTCCTCGCAAACACAGCGGGGTCGGAGTGCTAATCGCAAGAGGAGTCTGAAGCTGAAGCTGCCTTGGATCCTTCTCTCTTGCTAGGAGGATTTGCGGGGTGGGCAGCACCCTGTCCGCAGCGACAATTTGTTTTTCAAAAGCAAAAGGAGTCCGAAGCAAGCAAACCTTGCTGCTGCTGCATTCTGCTCCCTACCCAGCTAAGCCCTTCGCTTTAGCCTCCCTCTTCTCCTTGCTATTAGCTGCTTAAAGCATAACTAGGAACACTGCGTGGTCTCTCCTGGCAGATCTCAGCCAAACCAGCCACCCACCCGGGTGCTTCTCTCACCCACCCGGGGAGGCTGCAACATCTCCTGCAGCCAGCACCTTTCTCTGCTTTCCAGCAGCAGGCAGCAGCAGCGAACTTCAGCTGAGCTCAGGAAACAGAGATCTGCAGTTTGGCAGAGGACGTGGGAAAGCTGGCCTGAATTCACACCACTTCAATGCATCTGTGTTGTCTAAGTTTGCAGGTTCCCTGGCACCTCGCACAGCAGCTTCAAAAAAATAAATAAAAAAAAAAGCCCCCAGAGCAGAGCTTTGGGCCAGGTTGGAGCAGGGTCCCCAGCCTCCCACAGGCCGGGACAGCAGCAAGCTGTCACACCAAGGTTCAGCAGCAGCTGGCAGTGCCAGCAGAAGCCAGGACAGCCTGGGGGCTCGACCTGCCTCACAGCTAGTAAAGCTGTGCTTTTCCTGCACGTTTACTGCTTTAATCTTGAAATGATGCAGTACAAAGCTTTGCTTGGCGTTCAGATGGGAAATCCCATACACCACGGAAAAGATTACCCTCAGGTCCCTCATCCTTGTGCCCTGCCCAGCTTTCACTAAAAGAACATGAGCCTACTCAGAGGGCTTTGCAACAGGCAAAGCAACCCCAGAGCCTCCTCCTGAGGCACCTGGCAGCAAAGCCGAGCACAGAGCTCGAGTTGAGCAGCAAGCACCAGCTTCCACTGTCACAAGAGTGCTTTTTTTGTTTGTTTGTTTTACAGGATTAGGAAGCATCAGTACTATCCTGCCACTGGTATACCCAGGATCCCACGAGCATCTTGGGCATGACCCAGACCCGGGCTGCCTTTATACCCAAGTAGATTGGGTGTAAATCCATGAGCAGTCAAAAAAACACAACAAAATACCAAAACCTTTTGCTGGCCAACAGCAAGGCCTGCATGGCATTAATTCCCTTCTGTAGATCTCCTGCCCTGCGACAGCATCCTGCTGCTAATGCTGTGCAGACCTCAGGGTGGCTCCTCCAGGAAGAGCCCAGCTGCTCTGCAGGGACACAACCATGTCCCCATCTTAAAGCTCGCCCCGGCTGCGTGGCCTGGCAGGTCAAGGAACATGAGATTTAGGGTGAGACCCAAGGGGCAGAGAGCAGAGAGGTGCAGTTCACCTCTACTCCCCGTTCCAGCCCACTGCTCCCAGTCCCACCTGCCCAAACGCCCCGCACACAGCGGGCAGCCCAGCCCGCCCTGCTGCCGAGGCAAAGTCCCCCTGCTCACCCCCAAAACATCCCAACGAAGTGCTTCTTGCTCTTACTCCCTTTCCACTGGCTGTTTATGCACACTGCATGACTACACACTGAGTCACTGCACGCCGAAGCACAACGGGAATATTTGATCCCTGGACTTCACACATTACTAACCTAACCGAAGGAAAGCCCTGGCAACAGAACAGAGACAGGAGAGTTAGCTGGAGCAGATCCCACTTCAGCTGAAGCTTGCAACTCCCCCTCCGTATATTTTGGGTTGATTTCTCCTCCAATCAAACTACGAAACTAATTTTCCTTGAATCCCGCCTGACCGAAACCAGTTTTAAAAGAACATTCTACCGCAGGGAGCCGGCGCTTCCCCAGCAGGGCGCTGGGGCCGGTTCCCAAACTGTTCCTGCCGATACCTGTGCGGTCACAGCACTGCTGCTGGGCTCAGCCAACACTCCCCAGGCTGGGCTGGTGGCTCCTCCAGCCCCAAACTCCCACCGGCACAGAGCCACGCGTCTGCGTTATCACAGCCTGGGGAGAACCTGGCCAAAACGAGCAGTGCTTGTGCAATGGCTGGAGCCAACGTCCTGCCGGGATGGGATGGGATGGGAGAGGTACCTTGAGAGAGGAACACAGCATCTCCGTCTCTCCCAGCACCTTCTGGAGCGACTCTATGGTGGCATTGCGCACATCGAGAGTGTCCCGCAGCCCGTCCACGATGGCCTGGCATTCTCGCTTTTCTTTCTCTAGAAAAAGGGAAAACACAAAGGTCACGGCCCAGAAACCCAGCCTTGAGCAGCCCCACGAACAACAGCGGCAGCACAACAGACGCTGCTTGCGGTCTCAGGCTGTGAGGAGCTGGCCGTTCCTGCAGAGAGCCATTTCCCTAAAAGCTGTCTGCTCTGGGGTTTGTACCGAGCAATTGCTTCTCCCAGTGCCAGCAGGCTTCGAGATTTTCTTCAGTAAAGATAACAAGTTCCCTTTAATAGCTTTCCAGTGCCAGCCCTGCTAGCATTAAGCTGATGCATCTTAACTCTTGCGTGCTCTCCCAGGCGGGCGTGCACAGAACTGTTCTCTGGAGTCACACCAAGCTGGAGAGCCTGGTCCCTTCACACGGAGCCTGACGCAGGCGAGCCCTGCGGGATGTGCAGCCATCCTGAACACGCAGGGACCCCACGGCGTCACCGTGATGTCCCCTGCCCTCCCCACAGCACCACCAGCAGAGGTGCAGGCAGCCCCTCCGCCCAGCCCTGCTGAGAAGGGGGTGAAGCCCACAGCTCGGCACCTTCCTCCTCTGCCAAAATTGTTGTGGCTCCGGGCTGGCAGCGGTGGGGAGGCACCGGGTGCCCCTCCAGGAGGCTGCTCCTCCTTTCAGTCCAGTTTTACACGGTGCCACCGCGGCCCATGGGAGCGCGACCAGCAGCTGCTGCTCCGCTGGTGGGCCAGGCAGTACGGGAGCCACCAGGGAAGAAGGGGAGAAACACAGGTGCTAGGAGAAGCATGGAGGGAGAGAAGTTCCTCTTAGCAAAGCATTTTGTCTCCATTGAGCTGAATAACCCACCCTCACCAGAGGCAGCACAACCTGGAGATGCTCCGCTGCATTTGCGGGAACTCCACATCCCCAAAAAGAGCCAGGGCTTCCCCCTCCTCCCTTCCCCAGCTGCCCAGAGGCAGATGGCAGGATTTGAACCTCCCTGTGCTGCAGGAATGAGTTCAAATGAGTCACTCCAAGTGCCTCCCACTTCACCTGCTGGGGCTGCACAGAGCTCCACGCCTCTAGAGCCATTTGCAAGCTGATGAGAAGCTGGCAATTACACAGCTCCGCTACAACAGGGAGCGCAGAGCACATCTTTAAGGGAAGAATTTATACACAAGAGCCACCAGAGAGCAGAGTGCCCATAGCAAAGGAAGCAGGAGGTGGGAGCGAGCTGCTGCTTTCCAACACGAGAACAGACCGGGATGGGGGGATGTCAGATCCAACCTCTACTCACCAGAAGCCGCGAAGACGAGCAGGCCTTCAAGCAGTTTTTCTTGGATAACATCCTAGCAAGAATCCCAGCCACCTTCCCCAGAAGATCTGGCTCTCTACCAAGTCACCAAACCGCACTGAGCTAGCACGAGAACAGGCCCCAGAATAGCGCCGTGCGGGCCCCCCAGTGCTGCTCTCTGAGGACCGAAGCCCCAGCCCACTGGCTATTTGCGTCTGGCTCGTGCACGCAGGAAAGGCAGAGGGAAGACTACTCCCGGGGCGTGGGTGAGCCCCCAGCATTCTTTAAAGATTTCTCCTTTCTGTTAGCATGTCTTTGGATTTCTGTCACTCCGACTGACATTTTCCTTTGGCTGCTCATGACTCATGTTCCGATGACAGGCTGCCTACAGACGATGCTTAAAACCCATCGACAAGTCTCCAGGGCTTTCGCTTTTCCTGCCTCCCTCAAACATCCTCTAAAATTAAAGATGGGAAAAATGGAAGCGCACACACCAAATCCCGTCTGCTCTTCAAGTGACACATGTGGCACTGCAACAGCCAAACAAACCCAACACCTTCCCACTGCTGCTCGGGCACCACTTTTACCCCCCCCCCCCCCCCCCCTTTTTCTGTTAGCAGGAACGAGCGTTTAGCAACAGCAGCTGTGAGCTTCCCAGCGATGAGACCACAGGCTCTGCTTTCAGCAAGCTTACTCCAGACGTAGCCGTGCTGGGCTTTTGTAGCTCTTAGTTGGAGCAAAAGAAATTACACACGTGTATCTAAATTTGCAGAGGGCAGCCCAGTCAGAGCTGCACTGGGCCAGCCTGAGGGCTTGGGCTCCCTCATGCAGGTTTTGCACAGCTTTAGGCAGCCTCTCCTTGGAAAAAGCTCCGAAGAAGCTGCTCCAGAACGAACTCGCAGCCTGCACCATGCCTCAGGAAGGGGCGAGCTCTGCAGACACGATCCTCGGGGCTGACCAGAGCAGCGCACGCAGGCAGAGCCCGGGAGCTGCCGGCAGCTGGAACTCACCTTTCGCAGAGAGCTGAGCCTTCGCCTTGTCCAGTTCATTCTGAAACACAGCACAGACAGCCCGATTAGGAAACAGCCTGCGGAGAAGCTCTCACCATACCTAAAGGACCTGAGAGGTTTCTCAGCAGGCCATTTGCACCAGCCAGGCGCTAAGAATAGCGCGCATTAACAGCGAGCCCCGAGTTACAAACACGGATTATTGCAGGGAACGAAAAGAGCACCTCCAACTGGCTCCCTTCGGGGAGAGAAGAGAAGATCCCAGTTTTATCTTAGCCTTGTCAACCTTGTGTTTCTCACACTGTCAGTCATCTTGTTTTAGCTGAATAATTTTGGAAGGCTCTCAGGGAAACACGGGAAATCAGACAGGAAGGATTTTTATAACGTTTTACCTAAACAAGGCAATAAGGCAGGGATTCTGCCAGACTAGCTGGATCGCGAGCCACTTCGAACTGGGGTGAACTTGAGGTGCGTGCAGGTGGGGGACCCGAAGGCACACCTGAACTTCTTAAAGAGTGATGAAGCACAAAACCGAGAGGCACCAGCCGGCACTCCGACAGACGCCGAAGTCGCTGCAGTTTGGGAGGCCGATGAGCTAACAGTTGAGCCAAGTGGCCACAAAGAGATCACCGACAAGCCCCTCTGTCCCAAACCGTGCCACAGAACGTCTCCGGGGCACCCCAAGGGCCTGGGGAAGGTCAGGCATTTCTAACACCTTCACTAAAGAGCGGAGAGAGGGAGCACGCACTTGTGGGTTAAATTATAGATGGAGCGATGCGACCTGCGAGTGCTGGCAAATAGCCAAAGGGAGCACACAGAGTTTATAAAGACGAGCAAAAATATACATATTTTACATCCATATTTATGTAACTCTCACACATTAGAGAGGGAGAGGGAAAAAATACAGGAAAGAGTCAACAGAAGATGACTTAAAAAGCTGTGTTAGAACTGCAGAGGAAAGCACATAACAAGCCAGGCAGGAACTGCAGTGGAATAAAACCTCAATAAAATGCCAACACAGTACAGAAGCCGAGCACACAAATCTGTGCAACCCAGAGTGCTACATGCAAATCGGAGCTGAGAATAGCAGGAGCAGCGGCCGCGGAGCTGACTGGACCAGGGCGAAGCTCTGCTAGCGACAGCAAAGCCAGGAAGGAGAAGATGGGATCTGAAGCTGGGTACGCAGGAGGGACTGGAGGAAAGCCGGGCAGAGCTGGCTGGGATTTGCCCCCAGGGGGACAACAGCCGGAGGGCTGAGGCGGAATTAACTCTGCTGCAGGAACTGTTCCGAAGCAGCTTCCTCTGAGTTCTATTCAGGACCGATTAGTGAGCTCACAAGACGTGCTAATTAGCATGAGAGCAAAAGAAATCCTGGGCTAGCGCAGGCAGCTATGTAACATTACCTCATTCATCAACTTAATCTGAAATCCCTCATCCTCCACCACCGCTCCTAAAGGCTGCTCCCAATTTTCACTCCTCTGAGAGATGCAAGCTCCGCTCTCTTTTCAACCCTGAATTACAAGGCAACGCTGCCGCAGGATCAGATGTGTGTAACCTGACCACAAACAGGCAGCCGTCCTCCCAGGTTCCTTCCCTCCCCAGCAGATTTACAGGTGGGAATCCTCCTCCTGCCTCCTTTTTGCCAGGAGGAGCAAAATCCCCCAGTCTCCTTCCTAAAACGGGCTCTTGGCCCCCCAGGTCACAAGTGACTGGTAGTGCCAGGTTCCAGATGAGCCCTGGCGAGGTGTCCCACCCCAAAACTAACACTTCTGCTCTCAGAACAGCCGTGTGGAGACTGTTGTGATGGCTGAGGACCATCTTTAAGAGCAGTGCAGGAGGAAAAAAAAAAAAAAAAAAAAGAAACCAAACACAACAGGCTGAGCTCTGAGAACAGCTTAGATATGCCGCAGCGCTCGACCTGGGGTCTGCAGCTCCGCCAGGGAAACAAGCCACCCGCGGTGCCTCGGCTGAAGGCAATGCCTGGCAATGGGAAGCAAAGCAGGAACCCAGGGAAAGGTTTCAGACAATGTTGTTCCTTCCAACAACTTCTGGCCAGGTGCATGACACTGGTTCACAGAAGTGCATCCCTGCTTTGTCTCTCCGTGGGGACGCAGCTTGTGAGCCCCCCAAGGCACGCTCCCTTGCCCCAGTCCAACTCTACCATGGCAAGAGGCCAAAGACTCATTTGAGGACATCTGCAGGCTGCACAGATATAGCTCGGGTTGATTACAGAGCTGCCTGATTACAGAGCAACCCAGAGCCGTGCACGGGGCAGCGAGCACCCCTATAAACTAACCACGCTCAACCCCACAGCAAATATTCGTTTTTTTCCTGGTCGATAGAGATCTCAGCTCCCTCATTAGGGGAGCTGGGAGCTTCAGTCTAGATATTGCTCCAGCAACAACAGCACAACCTCTGTAGGAGCCTCGGTCATAGCGACCATGAAGTGGTTGAGTTCAAAATTTACGGTGACAGAAGGAAAAGTGCCACCAAAACCTCATCCCTAGATATGGGGAAAGCGGACTTCAGGCTGCTCAGGGAACTAGTCAGCAAGGTCCCCTGGGAAGCTGCTCTTGAAGGCCTCGAGGTCCACCAGTGCTGGTCATTCTTTAAGCGATGCCTCCTAGAAGCACAAGATCAGGCGATTCCTAAATATCGCAAGTCAGGCAGGCGGGGCAGGAGGCCGTCGTGGCTGAACAGGAACATTCTTACGGAGATTAGGCGGAAACAGAGAGTGTTTCGCTACTGGAAGGAAGGCCAGGTGTCATGGAAAGAATACAGGGATGCTGTTCGGGTTTGTAGGGAGAAAATTCGTGTGGCTAAAGCACACCTAGAGTTGAAGCTGGCTGTGTCTGTGAGAGAAAATAAAAAGGGTTTTTTTAGATATGTGAATGGAAAAAGGAGAACTAAAGAATGCATAGGGCCGCTCCTTGATAGGGAAGGTCTCCTCACAGACAATGACATAGGCAAAGCAGAGACGCTTAACGCCTTCTTTGCCTCTGTCTTCAATGCCGATGATGGGCTTCGGGACCCAGGGTGCCCCTGAGCTGGAGGACCGGGACGGTGGGGATGACAAACTCCCAACCGACCCTGAACGTGTGCGGGATTTGCTACTCCACCTGGATCCCTACAAGTCCATGGGTCCGGATGGGATTCATCCCCGGGTGCTGAAAGGAGCTGGCAGACGTCATCGCAGGAACCTCTCTCAATTATTTTTCAACGATCCTGGGAATCTGGAGAGGTCCCGGTAGACTGGAAGCTGGCAAATGTTGTGCCGATTTTCAAGAAGGGTCAGAAAGAAGACCCTAGCAATTACAGGCCTGTCAGTCTCACGTCAGTGCCTGGTAAAATCATGGAGAAGATGGTTCTCGAACGTATTGAGGCGCACCTGGGGGACGAAGCAGTCACTGGTCCCAGCCAGCATGGGTTTGTGAAGGGTAGGTCCTGCCTAACTAACCTGATTTCCTTTTATGATAAGATTGCACCCGTATGGTGGACCGAGGGAAACCAGCTGATGTGATTTTTTTGGACTTCAGCAAGGCTTTTGACACGGTTTCCCATAGGATCCTACTGGACAAAATGTCCACCATACAGCTAAATAAAAACATCATACGATGGGTGAGCAATTGGCTAACGGGCAGGGCCCAAAGGGTTATGGTGAATGGGGCTGCGTCAGGCTGGCGGGCGGTCACCAGTGGGGTCCCTCAAGGCTCCATTTTAGGGCCGGTACTTTTCAATATTTTTATAAACGATCTGGATGTAGGAATAGAAGGTATTTTGAGCAAGTTTGCTGATGACACCAAACTTGGAGGAGTTGTGGACTCTGTTGAGGGTGGAAAGGCCTTGCAGAGGGATCTGGATAGGTTGGAGAGCTGGGCGATCGCCAACCGCATGAAGTTCAATAAGAGCAAGTGCCGGGTCCTGCACCTGGGACTGGGGAAACCCTGGCTGCACGTACAGACTGGGCGATGAGACGCTGGAGAGCAGCCTAGAAGAGAGGGATCTGGGGGTCGTGGTAGACAGCAAGTTGAATATGAGCCGGCAGTGTGCCCTGGCAGCCAGGAGGGCCAACCGTGTCCTGGGGTGCATCAAGCACGGCATCGCTAGTAGGTCGAGGGAGGTGATTGTCCCAGCTCTACTCTGCGCTGGTGCGGCCTCACCTCGAGTACTGGTATGCAGTTCTGGGCACCACAGTATAAAAAGGACATGAAACTGTTGGAGAGTGTCCAGAGGAGGGCTACGAAGATGGTGAAAGGCCTGGAGGGGAAGACGTACGAGGAACGGCTGAGGGCACTGGGCCTGTTCAGCCTGGAGAAGAGGAGGCTGAGGGGAGACCTCATCGCAGTCTACAACTTCCTCGTAAGGGGGTGTCGAGAGGCAGGAGACCTTTTCTCCATTAACACCAGTGACAGGACCCGCGGGAACTGGAGTTAAGCTGAGGCAGGGGAAGTTTAGGCTTGACATCAGGAGGGGGTTCTTCACAGAGAGGGTGGTTGCACACTGGAACAGGCTCCCCAGGGAAGTGGTCACTGCACCGAGCCTGTACTGAATTTAAGAAGAGATTGGACTGTGCACTTAGTCACATGGTCTGAACTTTTGGGTAGACCTGTGCGGTGTCAAGAGTTGGACTTGATGATCCTTAAGGGTCCCTTCCAACTCAGGATATTCTATGATTCTAAGAGTCCGCAGTCCTGCCCTGGAGCAAGGGAGCAGGTCTGCAGCACGGCCTGCAGAGTGGGCATGGCTGGGGGAGCCAGCCTTCGGCCCTGGGGAGGAGGGCTAAGGGAGAAGAGAAAGCTTTTCCAGGGCATTTTTCTCCAGCCATACCATTTCTGAGTCACTCATCTACTTACACTTAGGAGAGCTGATCTGAATGCGGCCTACAGGCAATGTTTACCTGCTCCCAGCCACTGCTCTGCATCTAGGGCGCACGGCTCCGAGTGCCCAGAGATGCTTTTTCTTTGCCTCCTCATGCACACTTCGGGCTCGGTTTCTTTATTTGCGGCCCCTGAGAATGACAGTGCTACTGACATCATAGTCTGGCTTGCTTTATTTTAAAAACATACGATATACATATAGCAGTTGCCATGACAATGCTAATTATGGTAATTACTGCACATGCTGATTCTAAACACAAGAGGGTACAAGCGGCCCATTATACCAAGGTCAGCGGATTACTTTTTTTTGGAACAGACCTAACTCCGCCACATACGGAGCCACGCTCCATCCATATTAAACGACGGAGGAGAGCACGGAGCAGCCCCTCCTCGTGCAGGGCCTTCCACCCACGGGTGGCACTCGGCGAACGTGGCCCAGCTCCTCAGCCCTGACCAGGATCCCCCCGGGGAGCCAGCAGCAGCACTGCCCACGCCCCTGCAGGCGCAGCTCCAGGCAGTCCGTCTCCTAATTTCTCTCAGGAAACCAAGCCAGCCTTGGCACCCTGCCCTGCTTCGTTGTGAGTCTGCTTTGCCCTGCTCTTCCTTGCGCTGCCGGCTGAGGTTTGGGCAGGGGCAAGTAAAGCACCACTGGGAGGCTGTGTTGTGGCAGAGCTGGGACCGGGGGGGGGCAGTGGGAAGCAGGAGGAGGCACTGAAGTGTTTTGGGTCCCAAAGATGAGCACAGCGGGCAGCAGCTCGGGGACTGGCACAGCCCCAGCCCCTCGGGGAGGACCAACCCCAAATACCTGTAGGGTCTCCGCGTCCGGCGCCGCCTGCTCCTCCAAGGTGACGTTGAAGAACAGCTTGGTGATGATGTGCCTCTTGCTCACCTAAACGCAGGGGAGAGCCCAGGGGTCGACCCGCACAGAGGGGGGGGCACACAGCGGCTGGGGGGCGGGGGGGGGGGGGCACGAAGGCAGGGCCAGAAGGGTGGCACTGGGGGGGAGGGGGGGGGGGCACTCCCAGCGGGTGCTCAGCTCGGCAGCGGGAAGCCCCCGGTGCTCGGGGGGTGTGGGGGTGCAGGGGGGGCCCGGGGGAGTCCCGGGGGGTGCCGGTTACCTGCGTGCGGCACTGCGGGCAGGTCCTGCTGGGCGCCGCCTCGAACCAGCGGCTGAGGCTGCGGGAGGAAGCAGGGAGGGGGGTGCCCGGTCATTGCGGGGCACGGTGCCCCCCCCGGTGCCCGGTGCCCCCCCCCGGTGCCCCCCGGTGCTCACCAGGCGCTGTGGAAGGTGTGCCCACACAGCAGGGCCGCCACGTCCCGCTCGTTGTCGAAGAAATCGGAGCAGATGGAGCAGTGCGCCCGGATCGGCATGGCTGGGGGGAGGGGGGGCGGGGGGGGCCGGTCCCGGTACCCCCCTCCCGGTGCCGGTGCCGGTCCCGTTGCAGCCGCGCGGGGCCCCGCGGTTCAAACCCCGCCGCGCTCCCTCCGCTTCCTGCCGGCCCCGGAACCCGGCCCCGCCCCGGCCCCCCCCGCCCCGTTCACTCTGGAGCCTACCGACGGCACCGCCCCCCCCCTTAACCCTAACCCCCCCCCCCCCAACCTCCCGGTGCCCCCACACAGCCCCCGCACAGCCCCGGTTTGCCCGCGGCGGGGCCTTTATTTGCCAGACATCCGGGGGTGGGAAGCGGGGTCCTCGCGTGTGGCCCCCCCCCCCGCACCCCCACCCGTGTCCGTGGGGTGCTGGGGGGTCGGGGGGGGGGCTCCCGGTCCCCGTCCCACCGGGGCCCGGCGCATGCAGCCGGGGAGCCCCCGGGGGGGGGGACACACACGGGGAGAGCGGTGGAAAGGGGGACACAGGGGGGGGGGGACACGGGGTGGGGGGGCCATGCAGGGCGCTGCCCCGCTCTGCTGGGGCACGTAGAAAAGTGGGGCGCAGGCTGGGGGCGCGGGGGCCATGCCGGGCTCTGTACAGGGGGTGCTCAGCCGCTCGGCTCCTTGGGGGCCTCGGTGGCGGCGGTGGTGGCAGTGGTGGTGGCAGGTGGTGGCGTCGCTGTCCCCGTTACACGTGGTGGGGGCTGGGGTGGTGGCGGTGGTGGGTGGCGTGGTGGGGGCTGGGGGGGCCGCGCTCTCCGTGGTGGTGGTGGTGGTGGCGGTGCTGGCGGCTGGCTCCGTCTGCTCGGGTGCCCGCAGGCGCTTCATGAGCGTGGTCACCCGCACGGCTTTCTGCAGGGGGGGAGAGGGCGTCAGGAGCCTCCCCCCCCTCCCCAAAACACCAAGGGGAGGAGGAGGCTGGGTTTGGCCCCGGCACCCCCCCCCCGCCCACCTTCCACTTGGCCCTGGCAAAGTTCTTCTCGATCTGGGCGCAGACGCCGTCCTTGATGTTCTTGTCGGAGGCGGCGTTGCCGGAGATCCTGCGGGGGGGTGCAGGCGGGGTGAGAGGCCCCCACCTGCCCCCATATTGTGTGTGTGGCCCCCCCCCATCGCCCTGCCGCCCCTCACCACTCGTGGGAGATGGCCTCCTCTGCCGTGATCCGCTGGTCCTGCTCTACCTCCATCAGCCGCGTCACCAGCTCCTTGGCTGGGGGCAGGGGGGGTGTCAGCGCCAGGGGACCCCCTGCTCCCCTCGTGTCCCCCCCCCCCCCCAGCACCAGGGCTCACCCGCCTGCGAGATATCGTCCCAGTAGGGCGGGTCGAACTCGTAGTCCCCGGCCAGGATTTTGCGGAAGAGGTTCTTGTCGTGGTTCTCGTAGTCATCCTCGTCCGCCTCCTCGTAGAAGGGGGGGTTCCCCGAGAGGCTGCGTGGGGCGGTGTGCAAGTGCTCAGCGCCCCCCCCCTGCCCACCCCTGTGCCCCCCGTCCCCGTGCCCCCCGTGCCCAGCCCGCACTCACAGGATGTACATGATGACGCCGATCGCCCAGCAGTCCACCGGCCGCCCGTACCGCTGCCGCCCCACCACCTCCGGAGCTGCGGGGCACAGGAGGGTGGCGGGGGGACGGGTCCCGTCCCGGGGACCCCAGTAACTGCAGACCCCCGAGGGGGAGAACCACCAGCCCCAGGGCACCCATCTGCCTCCCCATGCTTGGCAGCCTGGGGCTGGATCCGCTCCTCTGGCTGCTCACAGAGCCCTGGGAGCAGGGCGAGGGGGCCATGGGGGCACCCAGGATGGGTCCTCGGGGTGATGGGGAGCAGGAGGGACCCGCTAGAAGCACCCAGGGTGGGTCCCTGGGGTGCTGGGCAGTGGCCATAACCAACCAGGAGCCCCCAGGGCGGCAGGGACCCCCACGGAGCACCCACCAGCAGCAGGAGGGACCTGCTGGGAGCACCCAGGAGGGGTCTCCAGAGCAAGGGGCACCCATCGGGTGCCCCCGGGATGGTGGGGAAGGACCCACCGGGAGGGCAGAGAGCTCCGGGGACACCCCCGCCTCCCCCTGCGCCCTCACCCAGGTACTCGGGGGTGCCGCAGGGCTCCTTGATCAGGCCGTTCTCCAGCTTGGCCAGGTGGAAGTCGCTGATGACGATCTTGGAGTTCTTCAGGCGGTTGTAGTACACCAGGTTCTCCAGCTGCCGGCGCGAGGGACGTCAGCACCCACGGGTGCACCCGCACCCACCGGGGACCCCCCCCCAGCCACGCGGCCGGCACCCACCTTGAGGTTCCTGTGCACGATCTTGAGCGAGTGCAGGTAGGCGACGGCCTCCAGCACCTGCCGGATGACGTTGCTGGTGTCCTTCTCCGAGTAGTAGCCCTGGTCCAGGATCCAGTCGAAGACCTCCCGGCCCGTGGCCCTGCCGGCGCCGAGAGCAGGCTGCCGGCAGCCCCGCGGCACGGCCGCAGCCCTCCCCCCGGCCCCCCGCCGCCCCTCTGCCCCGCTTACAGCTCCAGGAAGATGAAGTACTCCTTGCGGGTGATGTAGACGTCCACCAGCTGCAGGATGTTGGGGTGCTTCACCCTGCGGCGCCCAGGGGATGGCGGTGGGTGGGTGAGTGTTTGGGTGCCCCCCCCCCGCGGCCGCGGGGTCCGACCCGGCGCCGCCCAGCCCCAGCACTCACATTTTGAGGATGATGATCTCGTTCTTGGCCGCCTTCCGCACCTTGCGCCCGTCCCGCTTCAGAAACTTCTTGCAGGTGTACAGCTTGCCCGACGTCTTCTCCTTCGCCCGGAAGATTTCGCAGAACTCCTCCCTGCAAGGCAGCGGGGGGGGGGGGGGAAGGGGGAATCCATCTCAAATCAGCAAATCAATAGGAAGGGGGTGGGGGGAAATAGGTAGGAAGAAAGCCCCTTCCCCACCACAGGGCCACGGGGGCTCCTTGAGCACGGGGTGGGACTGATCCTGTCCCCGCACAGCACTTGCAGGCAGACGGATGCTGCAACCCCCTCAGCACCGAGGCTGAACAGCAGCAGCCTGCCTCAGGATTAATTCAAGTGCCGCGTTGGGGAAGGAGGAAGGTGAGAGGCGCCAGCTGCCTGAGGGCAGTGAAACGGTCCTGGTCTGTTATTAATGGTGTTTGAGCCCTTCGGCACAGGCAGGGGCCGTGGGGACTCTCAGCCCTCAGCTTTCCACCCCCCCCAACCCTGCCTGGCCGTGCCAAAACCCTCGAGGGATGTAGGGGAGCCAGGACCCAAACGGAGGGGCTGCTTTTAGAACGGAGCCAGGCTCGGGCAGCACCCAAAAGGGTCCCCGCGGCCACCCAGCACCGCCCCTCCGGGCATCCCCAGCTCTCAGATGCCCAGCACCATGGCCAAGCACCCTCAGCACCTCGGAGCCCAAAGACAAAATCCCCGCCGGGTGCTTTGGGGTCTCATCGGTCTCTGTCGGCAGCTGGATCTCACGGCTTCTCCTTCTGCACCACGAGAAAAACTTGCACCCCAAGTGACATCCGCGTCCCCTCTCCTGCCCTGCTCCCGGGAGGTGCTGCGGGGAGCCCCGGCTCTGCAGGATTGCTGCAATCCCAGCAGATATTCGGGAGGGGAGGAGGGATGGGTTATCGGAGGTGCTATCAGCGAGCAGCCGTGGAGGGGAACCTCGCCACCATCAGCAGCCCCGTCCTCAGAGCAGGCAGCGAGGAACTCGGGGCACCCACTGGGAACGGGGATTTGTCACAGGGAAAGCGCCCTGAGTGCCCCCAGCCCCAAACCACTGCGCTCCCTGTCCCTCGGCGTGGGGTTCGGGTCCCCAGGGGCGCCCCCGGGGCCCGGGAGGGACAGACTCACGTTTTGATGACCTGGCCCAGGTCATATCTGTCGGTCACCTCGGACGGCTGGTTATAATCTTTCTTGTCCCCCAGCGTCACGCAGCCAAACGGCATTGCAGGGCCCAGTGCTGGAAGGGCAGAGAAGGCAGTGAGCGCCCCGGCCCCGCTGCCTGCCCCAGCCCCACCCGAGCTGCGCTAATTAATGCGAAACCCGGCAAGGCGCAGCGCCGTGCACCCATCCCTGCGGCACCCAGCCACCCTGCCTGGGCTGGGCTGCCAGCCCGCCCCGCAGCCCCCATTTGCGGGCTCGTTAATGAGTTTATTCCGTAGCCAGAGCCAGGAGCAGCCTGCTGGGGAAGCGAGCGGAGGCGACCAGAGCAGCTCCTGTTTCTCAGCCTGTTTCTGCCCCATGGTGACGCTTCTCCAGCCTGGGCATCACCCGCTGCGTGCTGCCCGACGTGCAGCCCTTTAGCAGCGATGTCGTGACCTCGGTTTTCCTGCTGGGGCCCCTCTGAACCCAGACTCTGCTCGGGACGAAGGGATTTTTCCCCTTTCCCACCCCATTACAGGGAAGAAGTTCCAACTGCCGGGATTTTCTGATGGTTCATGAGACCCCGAGGGCTCCCTGCGTCCTGCTCAGCCCCAGCGGGACACAGCGTGGTGCTGGAAGCACCCATGGCCCAAACCTCCCCGAACACCGTGCCAAGCCGTGCTGGCCTTGCCGTGCCGTGCCGGCAGTGCCCGCCACCCCGGTGGGCCAGGATGGCTGAGCGGGATGCGGGCGCCGGCACGGCGGGTACCCAAGCGCTGCGCCTGTTGCTATGGCAATGGGAGCTGGAGATGCAGAAAGCGGCACATCCTGCGGAGGGGGCAGGGACGGGCAGCACCCGGCAGCACCCGACCCACCCGCGGGGGCTCGGCCCCGTCTCCGGGTCCGGCCTGCGGCACCTGGGGTGCTCACCGGGGTGCTCCATGGGGTGAGCGACCCCAAAAGCGGGCAGGATGCAGGCGCAGCGAGGCAGGGGTGCGGGCACGCTCCTCCCTGCGCTCGCTGCCTCCATCCCCGAGCAGCGCCCGTGGGGTGGGTGCTCAGTGCTCGCACAGCACCTGGGTGCCATCCCATTAGGAAAGCCCTCGCTGGGTGAGAGCTGCTGTCCCCGTCCCGCTCTGGAGGAGCAGAGCGCCCATATGTGCGAGAGCACTCGTGGTGCTCGTGCTGTAGCCCCGACTGCAGCGTTCCAGCCCTCGCTCGGCTCATCGCAGCAGGAATTGTGCTCCGTGTCCCCGTGCCAAGCCACGCTGCCCCTGCCGTGCCCGGGTGAGGGGGACGAGGGCTGTCCCCGCAGCCGGCAGCGTGGCCGCGGGTCGGCAGCAGCGGGGCTGGCTGGCTGGGAGCGCTGCCAGGCTGCGTGGTGCCAGGGCTGGCCGCGAAGGGGACCCAGGTGGGACGGTGTAGCGGGGTCGTGGCGCTGCCTCTGCGAGTGCTCGGCTCATCCGCACTCATAAAGCGAGTTCCTGCTGCTTCGGTGAGGCCCCATCCTGCCGAGGCTCAGCACCGCCACCGTCCCCTGCCCCGGGGCTGGCTCGGGGGGGCTCGGCACAGCCCAGTGCCCCGTGTCCTGCAGGGGAGCGCACGGCGAGGGGCAGCCAGGCAAGGCCTGGGTGCGGGAGGGGAGGCTGGGTGCTGCGCTGGCACCTGCACGCAGCCTGCCCCCCCCCCCCCCAACACTGCGAAGCATCTAATTTCGGAGCAGAAGCAACAGCGGGTGTAAGACAATAGCGGGGAAGTGGGTGGCCGGGTGCGGATGGCACGGAGGGATGACGCAGCCGCGCAGCCCTCACCAGCGTCTCCCCCAGCCCCCCAAAACCCGGCTCTGCTCCACGGCGGGGGGACCAGGGGCTGCCACTTGGCCCGCTCCATCTCCGGCCCCGCTTCCACCTGCAGCTGCCCCGCTGGCGTTACGGGGGGGTCCCCGCTGCGCCCCACGTCCCACGGGAGGGATGTGCCGGAGCAGAGCGCAGAACGTGGCCGGGCCGGGGGGGGGGGGACACCTCTGAGCCCCCAGTGCAGCAAAACGGAGGGCAGCGGGAGCCCGGGGTGCAGCGGACAGAGGCAGCGCGTCGGGCCGGGGCGCAGCCGGTGCTTGGGGGGGGTCCCGAGCCCCCCGCCCCGAGCTGGTCCCGGTGCTCCCCAGCGCCGGGAGCGCCTCCCCGGGGGCGAGCGGGGAGCGCTGCCGCAGTGGGGAGCGGGGCTGCGGGGAGGGCAGGGAAGGAGGAGGGAAGGAGGGAGGGAGGGAACAGCGGGGTGCTCGGCGCACGGAGCGGCGGGCGGGGGTCCCGCGGGGGCGGCCGGGCCGGGGGGCGAGCGGCGGGGCGCGGCGCCCGGCGGGGCTCGGGGGCAGCCGTCGGGGCGCACCCGCAGCCGGGCACGGCGCGGCCGGGGGAGGGGGGGGGGCCCTCGGAGGGGCACGAAGCCGGCCCGAGGGGGGCGAGGTGGGGGGCGGCAGCCCCCGGCCAACAAGTGGCCGACCCCGGCGGCCTCCCCCGGCGCACGGCTGGGCACGGCACGGCTCGGCACGGCCCCCGCCCCCCCGGGGGCTGTCCCGCCGCGGCCGCCGCGCTCACCTTGTCGCCTCTCCGACCGCAAAGGGGGGGCCGCGGCCCGGGGCCGCCGCCGCTCGGGGAGGGGGGCGCCGTGCGGAGCCGGGCCGGTGCCGAGCCGAGCCGAGCCGAGCCGAGCCGAGCCGTCGGTCCGTCGCGGCGCGGCCCCGCGCGCCCGGCGCGGCAAGTTGGGGGGGGCGGGACCGCGGGGGGGCCCTCCCCTCCCCCCAGCCCCCCCGCTCCGGGCTGCAGCCCCGCCCCCTCCCGTGACGTCACCCCAAACTTTGCGCCCCGCCCCTCCCGGGCGCGGGAGCCGGCACCCACGGGGGACGGGGCGCACGTGGACACGGCACGGGGACCCCCCCGGGGAGTGGGGACCCCCGCGAGGGGCAGGTCAGCGGGGAGGGGCGGAGGGGTGGGGGGGTTGTGGGGTGGGGGGGGATGGGATGGGATGGGATGGGATGGAATAGTTGGGATGGAATGGGATGGATGGGACGGGATGGGAGGGATGGGATGGGATGGGATGAGATGGGGTGGTTGGGATGGGATGGGATGGGATGGGATGGGACAGGATGGGATGGGACGGAATGGGATGGGATAAATGGATGGTGTGGGACAGAAGTACAATCTTGCGGGAGCTGGGCAATTTCCCTCGAGCTCCATCCCTCCAGCTGTGGGGCCAGAGCTGTTGGGGCTCACTGTCCCACTTTCTTCCCCAAAGCGGCAAGAAAAGGGTGGCAGCCTAACAGCATGGGGCCCCCCAAACCCCTCACTTGCTGCCTGCTGCCCAGCTGCTCCTGACACTCATCCACTTGTGTCCCCTGCCGAGACTCGGCATCCCCGTGCCCCCCGCTCCCATCCCGCGTGGCACCGAGCCCCAGGCCCTGGCCCCAACGCCACGCGCGCCAGGTAATTAACAGCACACGAGCCCTGGGGAATTAGCAGGGCACCGTAGTTTGAGCTTCTAATCAAGAGTTTAATCACACAGCCTGGAAGCAGCGCCTCGCTCCGTTATTAATCTCTGCCCCCCCCGGGAACCTCGAGTGTAACTCGCAATTAATCAGCAGGTGCCCACCACCGCCTCGGGCCTGCCCTGCGGCTGCTCGCTGGACGAGGGCCGACCCGGTGGGACGGCGAGCTGCCGCGGCATCGCCCGCCCGCCCGCCACGGGGCTCCCTCCTGGCACAAGAAGTGGGATGCCTGCCCCAAACTAACCCCGGGCCCCGTGGCGCCCCACAGCCCTGGCTCTTGCCTGGGGTCCAAGCCCACCCAGTGCCCTGCTTTGGGGCGATCGGCTCTGCTTGTGCCTGCTGTGTCTTGACCCCACTCCTCATGCACCCACTGCACCGTGCACCCAGCGCCCTGCACCCTCATATCCACCACCCCACGCCCCCGCTGCCCCACATGCCCCAAATCTTTCCCAGCACCCCTCGGAGAGCCCCCAGCCAGCCGTGGGGTGCCGCCCTCTCCTCGGGGACATCCCCAGCCGCCCCCCTGTGCCCCACACGTGTGTCTGGGGGGCTGCAGTGCCAGCCCGGGGGGCACGGTGGGGGGGGCGCAACGTGCCCGTGACTCAAGCGCCACATGGCACCGCATCCCTGCGTGCTCACCATCGCCATGGCAACCGGCAGGCAATCAGCGGTAATTGCGCCGCGCGTCGGCCTGGCAACGGGGCCAAATAAACCCCATCCCCTCCAAATAAACCCCATCCCCTCCTTTCGGGAGGTCCAGAGAAAAAGCGTGGGGGAGTTGCCCCCCACACGCCCCCAGACCCTTTTTGGGGTCAGCAGCAGGACCGGCGCATGGCAGCGGGGTCGGCGTGGCTGTGGGCGTCCCACGGTGGCCACGGTTCCCGCGAGGCATTGAGGGCACTTTGGTGGTCCCAGGGCTCTCACAGCCCCTGAGCCCAGGGGGAGGGCACGAAGTGCAAGGAGCTGGGTGGGATGTGGAGGGAAATCCAACAACCCAGGGCTCTTTGGTGGGAAAAACTCCGTCGGTGTGCACCGGGGAGGACAGGGGCTGCTGGGCGCGTTTTGCGAAGCTCCAGACCGGGCATGGAGACCGGGCAAAGGGTCCCCCTAAGGACAGACGCCGTCTGCGGTGTGGGAAGAGGAGGAAAAGCTGTGTAACCAAGTGCTCCCCGGGGGCCAGCAGAGCTCCCCAGGAGCCCCGAGGGCCAGCCGAGCTCTCCAGGCTCAGCGGGTGCCGCTATGTGGGGCTGTGGGTGCCGGGCACGGTCGGCGCGCCCCAGCAGCGCTGCTGCTCGCAGGCTTCGTTAGCAAAAACTCGCTCACTGCTAAAAATGGCCCCGCGCCGCCGCTCCAGACGGGAGGCCGCTCGATCACGCCCGCTCCCCAGCATTCGAGCAGGAGCTAAAAACAGCTCGCCGCCACCGGTGGCTCCTGCCGGTCTTTGCGGGGCTCTTTGATGCCGGAGAACCGGCTCCCGGCTTTTCATGCTGATTTGGCACAACGTTGCCCATCCCGATTGGGGTGTCCCCCCTGCCTCGATGCCCTGGGGGTGGCTGCATGCAGTGCTCTGCCTGTCCCTGAGCCACTGCTCCCCCTTTGCCACCCGGTGCTGGGAGTGCCACCAGCACGAGGTGCCCATGGACGGGGCTGCAGCCACCAGGTGCCACCCAGCGCGTCCCCAGGCGCTGCCACCTTCCCCGGGGAGCAGCAGGGCTGTGCCCGCAGCCCCGCGCCTGGCCACTCATCCATTATAGATGGCTCCGATTTTAATAATTAATCCCTGCTAACGACAGCACTTTCCCCAAATAAAACATTTAAACTGCTGCGTGCGCAGGGCGTGCTGCCGGAGCGGCCCGCCCGGGTGCTGTGCTGCAGCCTGGCGGGGCGGCACCTCGGGGTGCTATCTGCTGGGTGCTGTTTGCCCGGTGCCCACCCTTGGGTGCTCCCCTAGATGCCCCCAGGCCCCTCAGCTGGGTGCTGGGTGCTGCATGAGCTGGGGGATGCCACCCAGCCAAGTCCCCTCGCTATATCCCCTGTGCCGCCGCACGGCTGTGGCACTAACTGAGGGGGTGTTTGCTCCTCGTCTCCAGCCGTGTAATTAGGGCAGGATAAATGTGCGTTAGCCTGAAATCTGTCATCTCCACCAGCAAATTTAGGGGGGGAGCAGCCAGCTGCATCCACCCCTCCCTGCAGCCTTCCCTCCGTGCCTCCATCCCTCTGTCCACCCACGCCTCCGTCCCCGCATCCCTGCTGCAGCCGTGCCCCTGATCCCCTTCCCTCCTTCCCTGCCACCCCACCTCCCCGCATCCCCGCTCGCCTCCCGGTTCGGGTTCAGCCCTTCCCGTTGCCACAGCAACTCAGCAGCTCACCCGAAACCGTGGCGCTGGGACCAGGGGGGACCCCCGCACCCAGGCGGTTCAGCCCCGCCGCGGGGAAACTGAGGCAGAGCTCTGCCGGGAGCGGCGGCTAAAAATACCCTGCCGAGAGCTGCCGGTGCAGGTGCGAGGTGCTGCCGGGGATGGACAGCTCTGCTGATGGGAGCTGACGTGTCCCCGGGCTGCAGCGCTGCTTAACGAGCAGCCGAGGAGGGGATATTTCAAGCCAGCGCAGGCTGTGGCCACGTTTCGGTGGCTCCTGCGTTGCCAAATGTCACCGATGTCCCCTCCTGGGCCCTGTCCCCTCGGATCCCTCCGCTGCAGTGCGTGCTGGCTGTCCCCTCAGCCCTGGTCCCACACAGGGTGGGCAGCAGTGGCTGGCAGCTGGTGGCACTGGGGGGTGACACGGTGCCCACTGCCACGGTGCCACCAGCAGCGCGTCCCCGTGCCCCAGCGCAGCCCTGGGGGCACCCCTGCTGCCCCCCCCGTTGCAGAGCTGCTGGCAGAGCTGCCAGGGCTGCGCTTTGCCACAGAAGGCAGGGGGAAGGTTTGTGTCCAAGTCACCCGGTGTCACCTCCCGGGTGGCCCCTGGGGACATGGGGTGGCCCCAGCACCGGCCCACAGGTGCCTTCCCGTGGCTGGCACAGTGGGTGCCCCCAGCCCCCACCGCGGGCAGAGCACACGGCACCCACCAGGGAAAAATAAAATTCATTTTTTTATCAGTCATTCAACCAAAAAACGCTGAATTTGTCCGGAGGGGGGCCAAAACCCCTTGGGACACCTCGTCGGCTCAGGCCGCCCCATAGCACTCGCTGGGGCTGAGCACGGGGCCCGCAGCACCGAGCTGGCACTGGACTGGGGCTGAGGGACACCACGGGGGTCCCATCAAGGCACGAAAGAGCAGCACCCAGCGCCCACCCCGTGGGCAGGGTGCCACACAGCACCCAGCTGCACCCCACGTCCCTCCCTGGGGGCGCGTGCCCACGGGACGTGGGGACCCGGGAGACCCCACGGAGCAGAGCGCCCGTCAGCGCACGTCCTCATCCTCATCTTCAGCACCCTCCTCATCCTCGCCGTCAGGCTGCTGGTCCAAGGGGGCGGGGGGATAGGGGGGGCCGCTCTCCAGGTTGACGTAGGTGACGGCCAGGTTGACGTAGTGCTCGCCCTCCAGCGAGGCCAGCACGCGTTTCAGCTCGCCCACCAGCCCCGAGAAGGACGGCCTGTCCTCGGGTGCAGGCGCCCAGCAGCTCAGCATCACCCCGTACCTGCCCCAAAGTCCCCGTTAGCACCAGCAGCATCCCCTGGGGGGGTCCCACCGCTGTGCCCCCCTCCCCTGCCCCACTCACAGCGTGTCGGGGCAGGGCTGTGGCTGCGGCAGGCGCCGGCCCCGCAGCAGGTAGCGGGCCATGTCGTAGGGATCCACCTCGGCGTACGGCGACGCGCCCCGCGTCAGCAGCTCCCACATGAGCACCCCGAAGGACCACTGCGGAGCAGAGTGCCGGGGCAGGGGGGACAGGGATGGGGACGGGGACAGGGGACAGGGGATGGGGAGGGGGGATGCGCCTACCACATCCGACTTGGTGGTGAATTTTTGGGTCTGCAGGCTCTCCAGCGCCATCCACTTGACGGGCAACTTGGCGTGCCGGTGCTTGCCGGATGCTGTAGTACTCCTTGCCGAAAACATCCCGCGCCAGCCCAAAGTCAGCCACCTTCACCGTCAGCGTCTCGTCCAGCCTGCGGGGAAGGGTTGGGGGCAGCACCCCAGGGTGCCCGCTGCAGCCTGGGGCACGTCAGGGTGCTGGGGGTGGGGACACCCTCAGGCCGGCCCCACTCACATGCAGTTCCTGGCCGCCAGGTCGCGGTGCACAAACTTTTTCTGGGCCAGGTACTCCATGCCCAGGGCCACCTGGAGCCCGAAGCCGATGAGATCCTTCACCGTGGGGCTCTGTGGGGTAGGAGCAGTGAGCGAGGTGAGCTCAGCCCCCCCTTACACACTCTCCACCCCTCCCGGGCACCCCCGTACCCTCTCCTGGCTGCGGATGAAGTGCCGCAGGTCCCCGTGGCGCATGTAGGGCAGGACGACGAGGGGCAGCCCGTGGCGGGGCAGGCAGACCCCGAGCAACGAGAGCACCTGCGGGTGGTGGAAGCTCTTCATCAGGATGCCCTCGCGCAGGAACTCCTCCACCTCCTCCAGATCCGTGATCCCTGCGGGGAGCCGAGCCATGGGGCGCCGTGCCGCGGGGCCGTGCCGCGGGGCCGTGCTGCCGGAGCAGGCGCTGACTCACGGTGCAGGGACTTGACAGCGCAGTGCAGGGCGCCCAGCAGCGGGTCCGTGTAGGTGCCGTGGTACACGCTCCCGAAGTGCCCTGTGGGGACATGCAGCAGTGAAGCCGGGGGGCCGGGAGGTGACAGCCTGGCCAAACTGCCCCGGGGCGAGTTGTCACCTTTGCCGATGACCTGGTGGCGGTGGGTGACGAGCCGCTCCTCGGGGATGAGGATGTCCTTCACCTCCTCCAGCAGCTCCGGCCGCAGGTCCTCCAGGCAGCAGGACGTGGACCTGAGCAGGGGCACCGGGGAGCCGCCGCCCGCAGCACCGCCAATGTGCGCATGGGGCCTGGCCAGGATGGGGCTGCCTGCAGCAGGCAGCGCTCCCACTGTGGGCAGGGGGGGCACCATCAGGCACCGGGCACGGCCCCAGCGCCCCGACATGCTCACCCCAGCACCGCTTACCCCGCACGTCCCGGTAGTCAACACCAGGGCGCTGGGTGATGGCAGAGGCTTCGCTCCGGCCGGGGTGCACCAGCAGCTCCAGGTTCTCCGTCCCTGCGGGTAGGGCACGGGGTGGCACCGTGGGCATGGGGTGACACCACGGGCACGGGGTGGGTCCGGGACAGCCGGCTAGCAGCAGCACTCACCCCTCCTCTTACTCCAGCGCCAGCGGAGCAGCACAGCAGCCAGGATGCAGCAGACCAGGAAGGTGACACCGGTGCCCAGGGCCAGGCTGGCAGCCAGGTCCAGCGAGGAGGCGGCCAGCACCAAGCCCAGTGTGTGGCAGTCGCTGTTCATGCAGATCTGGGGGAGCAGGGGCTCAGCGGGGCCAGAGAGAGCAGGGCACGAGGAGGGGGGAGTACTGGGGGGTGCCTACCTTCACGAGGGCCCCGGCTGGGGGCAGGCGTAGGTTGTGGGGCACGTGGCACATCACCTTGTTCTTCAGCACGTTGGGGTGGCAGTCCCGGCCCCCCACTGTCATGGTGATGTTCATGCAGCCGGCCACGGCGTCCAGCCCCAGTTGCTGCCCGGACAGACAGCGCTGAGCCCGGCCGGCCCCGGCATCGCCCCCCCCGCGCGCCCTGCTCCCCTACATACATTCACCTCCACCTCGTCGTCACCGGGTTTGAGGCGGTAGTGCCTCTGCTTGCCCTGCTGCTCGAAGGGGAAGACCCGGGGCCTGGGGAAGTAGCGCAGGCGGAAGAGCTGGCGGCCGGCAGCGCCTTCCAGCAGCACGCTCAGGTTCCCCAGCACCGTCTCCAGCTTGGTCTCGAAGGGGAAAGCCGGGCTGCGGCACAGCAGCCGCTCGGGCAGCTGCGGGCCCTCGCACACCTGCAGGCGGGTGCTGGGCTGCTGCCACGGCCGGGGACACCCCGGGGGTGACAGCCTCCTGCCTCGGCACCTACCGTGGTTTCGGTCTTCTCGCCAGCAGCCTCGAAGCGGATCTTGGCGCGATACATCGAGTCCAGGTGGGAGCCGATGAGGGTGAGCATCAAGCCCCTGCGGTGGGCAGGGGTCAGAGCACTGGGGTGCACGCAGTCCCCAGGGTGTATATGGTCCCCCCCAGGGTGCACGCGGTCCCTAAGGTTTCCCTGTGGTCCCCCCAGGGTGCACGCGGTCCACACCACCCCAGCCAACCCAGCCTGGGGGGATAATTTCAGGGCTGTCCCCACACACTCACTCGTAGCTGCAGTTGGGGACGATGCCCCAGACGGAGGGGTCGGGGCGGTACTGGAAGGACGGCAGGGCTGGGAACTCCTCCCCATCGATCCACAGGGCTACCGAGGCTGCGCCCAGGTGGGCGGCAGCGGGAGCCGTGCATCGAATCTTCCCGTCATCCTGGCTGGGAACAGAGTGCCGGGGGCTGGAGGGGACAGCGGGGCCGCGTGGGCGGCCTCATGCCCATCCTTGTGCCTGGGACCCCGCGATGGCCAGGGGTGATGGCCGGGACGTACCTGGGCTGCTGGGCCAGAGGACACTTGGAGCCGTTGATCGTCACCTCCCAGCTGCTCCCCGCCGAGATGTTGGTGCCGCCGAGGGACAGGAGGGTGCCACCGCCCTGGGGACCGAAGCTGGGGTGCAGGGAGCTGACCTGGGGCTCCTGGGCAGAGACGGGGGCAGCGGGGTGGGCAGTGAACCAGTGCCCCCACCCAAACGAGCGCCCAGCCCGCGCCACCCCGGGGCTGGCACCGCTGCCGGCACAGGGACATTACCACGAAGAAGAAGCCGCCGAGGGTGGCAGAGCCCTGGACGCTGAAGCCCGAGGCCTTGCGGGGCTCCATCACGCTGAGCACCACGTTGGCCGGCCCCGCCACCGCCGGCCCCCCAGGCTCCAGGGCACACACCAGCACGTCCACGAAGTCCTTGAGGCGGGAGGCGGGCTGCGGCCTGCGGGGTGGCAAGGGATCAGCAGCGGGATGGGGAGGGGGGCACAGACATCCCCCCCCACGCTCCCCTCACCTGGCCCAGCTCTCGTTCAGCAGCACGCTGCAGCTTCGCCCTCCCACCGCCACCCGGTAGGGGCCGGGGGGGCCGCGGTGTGCGGCGGGGTCCAGCGGGGAGCGGAAGGTCATGCCGCAGAGCGTCAGCCTTGTCCGGCCCCGCAGCGGTGCGCTCTTGGGGTGGAACTGCAGGATGGGCAGCGAGAGCACGCGATGGCCACGGGGAGCTCCCTCCTGGTGGGCACCGTGCCCGGCTTGAGGAGGGGGGGTCCCACCGCACACCGCCCCGTGTTCTGCCTCCCTCCCCACCCACCCTGGCCCGATTCCAGGAGGTCCCCACGGGGCCAGGGGCACCGCCGCGGACCTACATGGGTGAGGATGGGCAGACAGCTGTCCCGGACCCAGGTGCCGTTGCACTCGTGGCTCCGCGTGCACCCATCCCCGCACCAGCCGCAGCCCATGAAGCGCTCGGCACGCAGGCAGCGGTCGCAGGTCAAGAAGTGGCGGCAGCCCGGGCCGGTGACATTCACGCGCCACACCTGGGGACACCGAATGGAGGTGAGCAGGGGGCGCGGGGGGGCTGGCCCCATGTCCCATCCTGGCTCTCCCCCACTCACCTTGGTGCCGGCGGCGAAGAGCAGCGAGTCCTCCTGCAGCCTCACCACGTGCCGCAGCGGCGCCGGCTCCTCCAGCGAGAAGTTGGCCAAGGGGACGACGTAGGAGCTGGAGCGCTGCAGCACCATCTGCAGCGGGGTGGGGAGCGGGGCTCAGCACCCCCCCGGGCACCCCGCACCCCGCCCCAACCTACAGCCAGCACCCACCTGCAGGATGCGTCCCTGCGCCGTGCCCAGGTGGGCCATGGTGACGTTCTCGTGGACGGAGACGAAGATGGAGGTGAGGAGGACGCCGGCCAGGTGCCCGTTGAACAGGTCCACCTTGTGGGAGGTGGCGGGGACGAGGGTGGGCTGGTCCCAGCAGCTGGTGTCGTTCACCAGTGCCGAGAGGTTGACCTGCAGCCGAGCACAGCGGGGACACCTCGAAGCCAGCCCCAGCACCCCGATCCCTGCTCCCCCCTGCCCGAGCACCCATGGGTGCGGGGGCGAGCCTGGAGCACACACGTTGATGAGACATTTGGGGGCTGAGCACCTAGGCGGGTAAACACCCGATTACCCAATCCCCGCTCTGGGCTGCAAAAAGCAAGCAGGAATTTTGGAGGATGCCCCTGCCGCCACAACACCGCCAAGCAGCGTCAGATCCTGCCCTGCCCCCTCCACATCTGGACGTGGTTATCAGCACCAGCACCGCGGGGCGGGGGTGCCAACGCAGCGCCAGCCCCCCAAATCCACCAGGGCTCGGGGTGAAGGGGGACGCTAAACCCCGCTGTGCCCCATGGGGCACCCCTAGGACCACCTGTGGATGCCGGGCACCAGGGGTCCCCTTCCTGGCAGCGTGGCACAGAGCGGCGGCGAGCCGTGCGCTGCCGGGAAAAGGAGGAGATGCCGCCGCGCCTCGCCCCGGCTGAGAACAGCCAGGCTCGTGCCACGCGCACTGGCACCCGCCCTGCCCCGTCCCTGCAGCACAGCCGTGCCGAGGCTTGTTCCTGAGCCACCGTGTTCCTGCCCCACGGGGCCGGCGGGGTGACTCACGGCGCTTCCGCCCGCGGTTTGTTTGCTCGGGCAGCGCAGCGGCCCCGCGGCTGGCCCGGCCTGGCGCAGCGGCTCGGCGGGGAGGACGGGGCCCCCGCTGCCTCCTCTCTGCTCCTTCATAAACAAGCTGGAGAGCGTGGCCGTAAACACCGCGGCGCTGGGGATGGGGACGAGGGGGCCGGGGCAGCGCTGGGGACGTCACCGTGTAGACGGAGGGGAGGGGACGTTGTGTCCCCGCCACGGGCAGCACACGGGGTGGTCCCCACGCAGGGAGCGCAGCCGGCTCCTGCTGCTGCCAGCATGGCCAAGAAATGTGAAGGAGTGGGCAAAGCACCGCGTCCCCGCACCAAACCCGTGTCGAGGGGGCTGGAGGCATGGACTCGGGCACTCCAGCCCAAGCCCTCCCGTGAGCGCTCCCCGACAGGTCCCGAGCCCCCCGCCAGGACTCACGCTGTGCGGGCAGTACTCCTGCGGCTGGAAGAAGCTGAGCCCCCGCCTCAGCGTCTGCGCACCGGTGCCGCAGCACTTGTCCATCCCCTCCTCGATGGCCTGGTTGAGCAGGCGCAGGGGGAAGGCGCAGACGGCTGAGCTGTCCCGCGGCACTGGGCTCTCCGGCTGGCTCTCGGCGAAGGCGCCGAACAAAACCTTCTCGGAGCGGTCGATGCCGAGGTCTCGGGCCAGGCGCTCTCCGGGGAGGACAGCGTGGGCAGCCTGCAGCACGTTGTAGGCCACGTCGCGCTCGGTGTCCTCCTCGGCACCGCGCCGGCGCCGCTTGGACTCAAAGCGGCAGTCGAGGACCAGCTCGTGGTAGCGGCGCAGGTCGTACCTGCCGGTGCTGAGCCGCACCAGGCGCGTGTGGAACGACTTCGAGCCGGGACACTCGGGCTGCACCGTCAGGAAGTAGACGTGCTCTTTGGTGGTGAAGGAGTGCACGTAGCGGATGGGGTAGGTGTCTCGGTAGGGCGGCAGCACCGTCAGCCACTGGAAGGTGTCCGCGAAGCCGTCCTGCGTGCCCTTCAGCCTGCGGACCGACACCGACTGCGGGCTGTAGCGCGCCGCCACGCTGCTGTTGACGGTGGAGCCAAAGTAGAAGAAGGAAGCGTAGCTGTCGTCCACCACGGTGCCGCTGGTCCCCAAGGGGCTGGCCACGCAGTCGGGGCAAAACGTGGGGCTGTTGCCTGTGGCAGAGTACAGGCAGTGGGTGTCCCCGATGGTGACCTCGTCACCACGCACCTGCAGCTTGTGCAGGTAGCAGAGCCCGTGCCGTGCCGTGCCGCAGCTGTACAGCCACAACTCCCGCGGGTCCAGCAGCAGCAGGACGTTGTCCACGTCCTCGGGGCCGGGGCCGCCCGCAGCGGCTGGGCAGAGGCGGCAGATCTCGCACTCAGCGCTGTCCGTGGGGCCGGTGATGAGGACGGAGCGGCGGCTCAGCTCGGGGCCAACCAGCAGGATGCGGTTGCGGACGGCCACGAAAGCGATGGGTGGGTTGGCAAAGACGGCGACGTTCTGCACGGGGCCGCCAGCATCGAAGCTGGGCAGCGTGTAGGGCACGGAGAAGTTCCTGGTGGAGCTGTAGGGGATGCGGGGGCACTGCCAGGCGTCGGCAAGCAGCGGGGCCAGGGCGAGGACGAGCAAGAGGCGCGTGTGGCATGGTGGCCCCATGCTGCCACCAGCACAGGGCTACCGATGGAGCTCAGTGCCACACCGGGCCGGGACGCGTGGAGGCTGAGTCAGCATCGCACCTGCGGGAACACCAGGGGAAGGGCTGGAAGTGCTGTGCCAGGGGAGGACAGCGTCCCACGGCCACGCGCTGGGTGCTGCCGGGGGGACTGGCCACACCGAGCCCCCCAACCCTCCGGCGGGGGGACGAATCCTGCGGGCACCCCCCGGCCACGTCCCTGCCTGGGGACGGGGACCCAAAAGGGGACCCAAAAGGGGACCCCCTCCAGCTCACCAGGGCGGCGCTGGGGACCCCTGCCAGCCCCGCGGGGACCCGGGACAAGCCCCCCGCCACCCCCCTCGCCTCGCCCCGGTAGTCCCCAGCCCGACTCCGGCTGTCCCCGCCCGCCTTCCCCGCGGCTGTCCCGTACCAGAACCGGGCTCCGCCGCCTTGTCCGTGCTGAGCCGGCCGGTACCGAGCCGGTACCGAGCCGTGCCAGGCGGTGCCGTGCCGGGAGCTCACCTGGTCGCTGCGCAGCGGGCCGTGCCTTTCCGTGCCGGGCCGTGCCGTGCCGGGCCGGGGCGGAGCAGAGCGGGGCCGGGCCGGGGCGGGTCCTGCCCCCGCACCGCGCGGGGCTCCCCCGGGGGCCGCTCGGGACCGGGGCGAGCCGCGGAGGGGCAAGGAACGCCCCGACGGCCGCGGAGCCCCGCTCCCCGCGTCCCGCAGCTCTGAGCCCCCCTGCGCGCTGAGCACGGAGCCCCCCGCCCCGGGCATGGGCTGCGCGCAGGGGGGGCTGAGCTGCTGCTGGGCCCCGTGGAGGAAAGGTTTTTTTTTTTACTCCCGCAGTGAAAAGCAGGGATTCGTCCCCAAATCTCAGCCTCGGCGGCGGGACCGGGGGCAGGGCTTCTCCTCCCGCAGCCGGGCGGGACGGGGCTCGGCTGCCCGGATCCGCGGGGACTTTGCTCCCAGGGAGGGGCTGGAGGCGCCGATAGCGATCTCGCCTTCCCTCCGCCAGCCGGCTCCTGCCCCGCGTTGCGCAAAAGCCCCGCAGTTACGCTGCCCTGAGCCTTGCCCAACAGCTCCTTCCTCCGGGCTCCCTCCCGGTTTCGACACGAGCTGGCCCCGGCCGGCTCATCCCAGCCGCTCCCAACCCCAAAATCGGCCGTCCCCCAGCCCCCCGGGTGGCCTTTGGCCCGCGGGCACGAACGCGCTGAGACTCGCCTCCGGGTCCAGATAATGTTTATGAGCAGAGATGAGAGATTACAGCCTGGCAGGAGCACAACTCCGCGAGCAGGGTCCCCCCCCCAGCCCTGCCGGGTTCCTCCCGGCTCCCTCGGGGTTTCTGTGGGGCTCTCCCCCTCCTCGGACACCCGCCCCAGCCCCCAGTGTAGGGTCGGGCTGTGCTTCACAGGGGATACCCGGCTGCCGAGGCACCTGGGGGTGCTCAGCCCCACGCCGGTGCCCGGTGGCAGCAGGGAGGAGGGGGGCCTTGCACAGCAGGCCCAGCTCCAGTGGCTGGTTTTTGGGGGGGTTCAGGGGACCCCATGACAAGGCGAAGTCCCAGTAGGGCTCCCTGGCAGAAAGGGCTCCAAGGAAGCTGCGTTGGGGCTGCCCCTTTGGAGCCAGCACCACGACCCCCACACCCTGCATCTCTCGGGGGCTGCTCCACATCCCCAGGGGCAGGACCCCAGTGCCCCAGCGGGGGCAGGCTGACCCACCCCCTGCCTCCCCCCCTTCCCCAGGACACGGCATCCTTCACGTGGCCGTGCTGGGAAGGGTGCGGGACAAACCTGCTGGCTCCCGGCCAGGGCAGGAGCCCGGGACCATGGGGGGCTGCCTGGCATTTGGGGACCCGGCTCCCCCAAAGGAGGGAGAGGAGCAGCCCAGCCAGCCCCGGCCCCAGCTGGGTGGTGTCACCCACCCTCTGCGGGCACAGCAGCAAAAAAAGGGATGGAGCCGGGGGTCGTGGAGGAAGGGCAGCCCCCCCAGATGAGGGGGGCACTGCCTGCAGGTGCGAGAAAGCCCCGCTCACCCCATCTCCCACACCCACGGCTCACAGTCCCACGGGTGGGTTTCCCCGTGCTCTCGGGGTCCCACCGTGCCCTCTCCCCCAGCTCCCAGCCCGTGCCTCCCCAGGGGCCGGGCCGCCCGGCAGCGGGGTGCCCCGGTGGGCTCCGTGCCCTGGGAGATGCCCGTCAGTACGTCTGGGGCGTGAGGATGAAGAGTCGGTCTTCCTCCTTGCGGATCCACTTCATGAGCTTGTTGACAGCGCTGATGGCGCCCGCCTTGGTGCCCAGGGGACTGTAGCATATGTAGAGCTCGAAGGCGCTGGTGACCTGGGTGAAGAAATGGGGATGGGCACGCACCTGCACATCCCTGCAGGGGGCTGGTACCGCACGGCCCCCCGTGGGCTGGCCCAGGGGCTCCCGAGCAGGGCACGGGGTGGCAGCAGGGCACCCTAAGTGGCTGGCCTGCCGCTCCCTGGCACAGGAACCCCCGAAAGGAGCACGCGTGTGTTTGGGGCTGCCCTGGTGAGCACAGAGCCGGGGCTGCCTTGTGCCACCAGCCCTGCTCTGCCACGCGGGGCCGCAAGGTTGGGGTCACCCAAACGCTGAAGATAGCCCTTACCCAAGCCAGGAGGTTTTCCCGTGGGCCCGTGAAGTAGATGTTCTTCAGGGGGCGCGACGAGTTGTGAGCCCGGCTGTGGAGGTACTGGTAGAGCCCCAGGAGCCTTTCCTTCTCCTCCTCCCGCACGTAGGGTGCCTCGATCTCAGGGCTGCAGGAACACAGCGCCCCGTTAGCCCCCCGCGCTCCTCGGGGAAGGGGATTCAGGGAGCAGCTCTGCCCCGTGCCCGCACCGCGGCCCCAGTCGGTGCTCTCCCGGCCTCCTCACCTGGTGAAGAGCCCCGAGCTCTTGGACTTGTAGATGAAGTGCCGCAGGTCGGGGATGCCCACCTGGGCCACGCTGTAGAAGGGGGTGCGGAGGGCCTCCTGCAGAGCGTGGTGCACCCCCCGCCGCCGCAGGCGCTCCTGGAAGCGCCTCTTGCAGTCGGAGACGGTGAAGAAGTCCTCGCGGTCAGTGGAGACCAGCAGCAGGCACAGGTCCATCTCCTGCTCCAGGTAGGAGATGTGGGCGTGGAAGAAGCCGCTGGAGTTGAACTTTGGGAGGCAAATGGGAGTCCAGGCTTCGCCCTCCCGGAAGGAGGAAGAGGAACTGATAAGGTTGAAGAGCAGATGGAGGTCAATGGGGTGGAGGAACTGATCCTTCTTCCTCACGAGAGACACCAGCTGGTTCCCTGACAGGAGGATGGAGAACACCAAGCTCTTGGCCTTGGCCTGCTGGAGGCTGGTGCTCACGGCATCCCGGACACTGGCGGCCAGGGGCAGGCAGCGCACGGCGCCCATGAGGAAGCTGGGGTCGTGGGCCATGAGGTCCAGCAGGTTGTCGGTGATGCGCTCGGAGCCGGCCAGGAGCCTGCGCAGGTCGTAGTTCTGCTTCTGCTGGAAGATGTGGTTGAGCTGGGTCCAGGTGAGCAGGCTGAGGATCTGGTAGTAGATGTACAGCAGCTCGTGGGCGATCTCCTGCTCCGACTGCCGGGTCCGCGCCACGGCCACCAGCACCAGCGGGCTCCTCCGCACGAAGACCACCTTGTAGCCATCTGCTCGGGAGGGAGTCCCCGTGGTTGGGGACAGAGCGGTCAGCCCGAGCGCCCAGCCTGCAGCGTGCATGGACTCTGCTCCCACCTCCCCCCAGCCACCAACCTGCCCCTGGGGACAGCTTGGATAGCCCACGATGGCTGGAGCACGGGCTGGGCACCGCCACGTGAACCCCTGGGTGATGTGTGCAGGGACACCGTGGTGGGGCTGCAACACCACCCAACCCCACCTGCCCCCCACCCCCGGCTCAGTACCTGCGTGGATGGAGCGGATGGCATTTTTGTCAGCCTCCAGGAAGGACACCAGGGCCATCATGACCCCCATGGTGCTGGAGAGGGCCTCCTCGGAGCCGTAGCGGGAGTACACCGGCTTGCCGGCCTCGCTGAGCACAAAGACGTGCTTGCGATGCATGCGCCAGGCGTCCATGGTCACGTCCTCCTCCTCCTTGCCCGACAGCACCGAGTCGTGGCGGGCAGGCCTGCGGGGCCGGCTCCAGCTTCCCCTCCTTGCCCGGCCTCATCTCCTCCTCCAGGTCCAGGGCCATGCCCGTCAGCTGCGTGCTCAGCTCGCTGAAGTCCTTGCTGATCTGCTCCATGCTGCTGGGCCCGGCCGCCTCCCCGCGCCTCTCCTCGGGGCTCCGCGCCGCCGCCCCCCCGTCCTCGGGGCTCGTCAGGTCCTCGTAGGAGCGGGTGTGCACGAACATGGCCCCCTCCTGGCCTGCCCCTGGGGACACGGCGGGGGTCAGCGGGGCCGGGGGGCTCCAGGGAGGGGGCTGCGGGCCCCTCAGTGCCAGCCCCACCCCTCCCCACAGCCCCCGGCCCCCCCCGGGCCCTGCCCGTTCGCTCACCTGGCTCCGTGCCCTGCGCCAGGCCGGGTGTGGGGCTGTCGGCCCGCTCCCCGTGCTGCCCATCCCCCGGGGCCAGGCCCCCGCCGGGCTCCTCGCCGCCCCTCCCCGCCTGGACGTCCGCAGCCATCCCCGGGGGCGTCCCCGGGCTGTCCCCGGCCCCTCCCGGCAGCTCCGGGCCTAGCTGCCGGTGCCGGTGCCGGTGCCCCCCCGCCCCGCCGCCGCCGCTGCCATGGCGGCGCCCGCCCCTCTCCCCCTCAGCCCGCCCCGCGGTGCCCCTGCCGCGGGGCTCTCTGGGAGTTGTAGTCCCCGCTCCCGCCTTCCTCGCTCTCCACCCCCCCGCCGCGCGACTACAGCTCCCAGCAGCCCCTCGCCGCCGCCGCGCGGGGCGCGCTGGGAAGCCGAGTCCAAGCCGCCCCGCCGCGCGGGGCTGCCGGGAGCCGTAGTGCGGCCGCCGGACTCCATTTCCCAGCGTGCCGCGGGGTGGGGCAGGGAGGAGGGGGAGCTCCCGGAAGTTCCGGTTCCCCCTCAGCGGAGCGCTGGGCCTGGCGCGGCGGCGGCGGGGAGGTGAGGGGCGGCGGCGGCGGCGGGGCTGTGCCGGGGGGGGGGGCGGCACCGGCGGCCGGGAGCAGGCCCGGAGAGGCCGGAGAGGCCCGGAGAGGCGGGGGAGGACCTCGGGGCGGCGGCAGGCGCGGGGGCGCCCCCTCGGTAGCGGGCGGCGGGGCGGGGCCTGGGCGCTGCCCCCCCCCCCCTTTCCCCTCCCGGGGTTTTCCCCGGGCCCCGCTCACAATCGCGCCGCGTTCCGCCGGGGAGGGGCTGAGGAGGGGCTGGGGAGGGGCCCGGCCGCTTCTGCTGCTGGAGGCCTGCGCGGCCCGCTGGGGGTAAGCGCAGCCCTGCCCTCCCCTCCCTGCTGCCTCCTCTCCTCAGCAGCCCCGGGGACGCGGCTTTGTTGTTGCCGTGCTTGCAGACGGGGCGCTGCCCCCTTCAGGAAGGGCAAGAGGGAGCTTCTGTGGCCGACTTCAGCTGGTACAGCTCAGGGGACGTCTTCGCCTGTAGCTCGCCTCGTGCTGGCTTTTCCCTTTCTTTAGCCTTACGGGAACTTGGCTACACGTGAGGCGTTCGTCAGCGCGGCGCTTCCTCCGTGCTGTGGGCAGAGCCCTGCCTGTAGCTGTATTTGGCTTCCTCACGGCCTATAAATAACCAGGTTTGGCAGCCCTGGTGAGATCTATTCGGGGAGAAGCGGTGAATATCAGAGCGGTTCTCTCAAAACGTCATCTCTGTGAGACTGCCGCGTGCCCGCTCCTTCCCCGACTGCTCCTCCCTCTCCCTGCTTTGGCAAGCAGCGGGCAGTGTTGGGGGGTGAGTTGGTGGAGGTGGACGGGGAGGTGCTTGAGGGCCTTGCTGGCGCTTCTCACTCTGCCCCTTGGCAGAAATCATTATTTAAACCCTCGGAAGAAGAGCTGCTTGGTCTGGCTGAGCTACACAAGCCCTTTATTCTGTCGGGTTGTGGTGGAAGTTTAAGTAAGATGGCCACAAGGACAGAGTGCCGTTGGGCTCGGCATGGGCAGTTCAGGAAGCTGGGTCAGAAACATCCCTGAAGGGGCAGCAGCAGTCACGGGGCTGCCTGGGGGGCACTAAGAGGACAGGGGTTGTGTCCCAGGGAGCACCCTGAGCCCCCTCAGACTGGCACCTCTGCTCCTCGGTGTCTCCTGCCTGCTGGGAGGGCTGTGTAGGCTCGCATCAGCCCTACTGAATATTCAGAGTAACTGTAGCAGCTAATTACTGCCCTAAACAAGCTGCAGCTCGGGCTCTGGGAGAACCGGGCCACGCTGTGCTTGCTGCGGCCGTGCCGTTGTGTCATTTGGAAACTTCCTCTGATGCCATCTCCTCCAGATGCGTGGTTGTGACTGAAGGGCGCCAAAAATAACTGGCGCGTTGTTCCTAGCGCTCGAGGGTGGATTTTTGCTCTCCTGCTGGCCCACTCCCATCCCCAGGCTGTGTTGGGCTGTCTGTGGCAAAGCAGCCTTCCCCCACACCCTGCCCGCTCCCGCCGTGGGGCAGGGGGTGGGATCCTGCTCTCACCTCCTGTTTGTCCCGCTACGGAGAGCCGGGGTTTGTCAGCAGGTCGTGGTTCCTCTTCCTGGATTTCCTTCTGCGTGCTCAGCTCCAGGGCCCGGTCACATCCCCTTTTTGCATGGGGTCAGACCCTGAGAGGTGGCGAGCAGAACGGGGGGGCTGAGCTGGCAGTGAATTACCTGGTGCTGAGGAGGGCAGGTCCCAGCGGTGCACAGCGCCTCTCCTGCAGCGCTTGGGTCTGGCTGGGCCTCGGTGGCAGTGGGAGCCCCTCTCCGGAGGTCCTGGCCGCCTGCTGTCCCCTTGTTTTGTGGGGCTGTGTTGTAAACAGTACCACTGAAGTCCCACGGGTTAAACTGCTATCAGTCTGATGTTTTTTTTCCCCATCTGATAATTATAATGTTGTGTCCAAACAGCTCCCAGTTGGCGAGGTTTTTTTTTAAGCATTGGGAAGCTTGCGGACTCTATGAAAACTGGAGTGGGGGAGGAAACCAGGAAGGGAAGATGGAGAAACAGCGGCTCTGCAGGTGTCTGCAGGCTGCTGTGGGTTGCGGGTGAAAGCCACAGCCACCTCTGTCTGCCTGTCCTCAGCAGCCTGAAGCACGGCTTCTGCCAGGAAAAATGGCAGAGCTCATGGTGGGACGGCCCGGGAAGAGCCAAGGGGACCACGAGGGGACTGGTGCCCTCAGGCAGGTTGAGGGATCTTGAGCGGAGGTGGGGTGGGGATCCCGCGTGTGGCTGCGGCCGTCCCAGCCCGCTCCTTCCCTCCCGCTGCCTGTCGGGCAGCGCTGACCTTTGGAAGCGGGAGGAAGCAGGGCGTTGGGTGGTTTTCGTTGAGATTTACTGCGCTCACGAGGCCCAGCAGTGGCTGTCCTCGGTTCTGCGGAAGCACTGCAGGGAGCTGGCTTCAGCCCTGCTCTGGGGAAACGTGAATCCCTTGCGTAGAGGTGGGACCCGAGGGGCAGACTGGCTGCTGTGCCACAAGAACTGCGAAACCACTGCAGGGAGCGGGTCGGGGACCGCTGAGGTGCTGGCACCGTTCTGCTCCGGGCTCTGCTGCAGCCCTGGTGGGGGAAAGGCCCCAAATTCTTCCTGTTTAAGTCCTTTTGAAGTCCTGGCTTTGGCAGTCTCCAGGAAATCCTCCCCTTCGCGGCTGGTGGGAGGAAGCAGGTGACATTTCACACCTGCGCTCAGCTTTTAGGGCAGTTCTGGGCAGCAGAGCCTGTAAAGATTTCTTGGCAGAGCACACCCTGCTCTCTGCCTGCTTCTGGAGGGCAAAGTAAGCACAGCAGGCCAACAGCGGTGATGGTTTCCTTGAACAGCAGAGAGCTTTGGGCAGAAATAGTTGGGATTAAACATTAATTGCAAACTGTTGCTCGGCGCTGGGCCTTGCTGTTTATAGCCTGTGGGATTCTCACACTCGCAGTTGCTCTGAGTAGTGTTAGACAGCACAGTATGTCGGGAAGCGGTATGTTCATCGAGAGCAAATATCAAATCGTTTGCCCACACATATCGGCGGTTTCGTTTCGGAAGTCATTTGAAGCTTGTGAGTTTGAATGTGGAGAAACGCAGCACCGAGCTCATTCCTGCCGGAGAGTGGCCGTGTCGGTGGGGTCGGCCCTTCCCACGCGCCTTCCGCTGACCAGCAGTGGAAATTTTCTTCCGCGCTGTGTTTTCGTTGCCCTGTGGCTCACTGTCACGTTATTTCCTCAGCAGGTTGTGCTGTCGTGGTGTTCTCAGAGCGAATTACCCATTTCTGGAAGCCTACCAGACAAGGGGAACATGTGGGGAGACCATCGACAAGGCAACAGAACGGGGTCCTATCGGTAAGCACTGGATCGTACCCTTTGCTCCCTGCACTGAAGAACGTTACTGAAACAACGAGAACTCTGTCAGTATTCCTGCACATCCTCCTCCAGCTCATTTTGCTAAAAGTTTCTGAGCTCCTTGTGGAGCTAGGTGGCATTCCTGAGCAGTAGGCGAGTTAAGCCACGGTGTAGCTCTCTGCATTTTGGTGAAGTTTTGTGTTTGTTTGGTTCTTTTTTTAATTACAGCTGCTGTTTTATAACAAACATTATTTGTTGTGCTCCTTCACAAGGCGTTCTTGAATGTCACTGGAGCTGTTGCAAAGATGCACATGCAGCCGACCTGCGCTGCCTGATATTTTTCTTAGTTTATATTCCTCTGCTTGCTACTGGGCCCTGTGTTTGCAACAGGACTTTGGGAATAAAAACTGAAATAAAGCAGAGGCGCCAAGGGAGAGGGTTTTCATCCCTCATGCATAATTCTTTCATCCTTTATTCATGTCTTCATCTCAGTTATTTGAAAATCAGAATGATAAATGTACTTCCTCCTGGCATACCGTAGGCTCCTGAAATAAGAGTATTTCAAACAAATGTCTGACTGCAATGTGTGGAGAAAGCTGATGTCGTGAATTTAAAACAGTGTCCTGCAGAACCTGTCTTAACAGGGTTGATCAGAGAGCGATCATGATTTGTGGTGATAGCAGCAGTGCTGCTCTGCTGATTTATTTTTTTTAAATTGGATTTTATTGGCATCATTCTTTACTGTGGTGGATGGGCGATTCTATCCTCAAACCAAGTTTCAATTCCCGTTCCCTGTGGTGATGAACCAGGGGCTTGCAGCTTAGTAAATCCATGTGCAGTTTGATTAGCTGTGCACATGTGTTTTGTTGGTGAGTGATCCTGTATGAAACTCAGAGAACTTGCTGGAGTTGCTAGGGAAATGCCCACTGATTATGGTAGGATTTGGTGTTTCTTTAAAATGTGTTGCTTTAATATTTTATTTTTCTAATATTTTGAAGTACTGCTTAGCTGAAAAGTCAGATAGCTTCATCTCAGAAACAAAGAAAATGGATTTTGAAAAAAAACTGCAGTAAGAGGAAATCTCTTCCTGAGTGGTGTTGTGCAGAGATCAGAACTTGTGGTTGTGGTGTTGTAAAGAGGGTGCGAGGCAGCTGGTCTTGAGGCATCTGCAACGTCTGAACTGAGAGCTTTTAGCATTTTCCTGGTTTAGATTCCAGCACAGGGAGGCATAAACTCTTCTGTGTAGCACGTTTCTAGAGCATGTTCGGTAACCTTTGCTTTTGTGTGCCCCGTGACGATGTGATAAGTTAGCCGTGTGTAATGCTGCCCAGAGAATTTAAGCTCAGGTTGTTCCTCCCAGGTGTGTGCTGGTGATGCTAATAAACAGGCGAGCCAGCTGCTGGAACCTTGAACAGCTGCAGAGCTGTGTGCAGTGCAGGACTATGTGATTGCTACCGTCATTAACCCATTAATATTGCAGGTTTTCCCTGTTGAGTGCTTCTGGAAATTGTGCTGAAATGGGAGCACCCAAGTTTACTTTCTCACATCTGTCGTATGCTGCCTCATCTTAAACTGCCAAACATCAATATCTTCTGCGGATCTTAGACTGTTACACCACTCTATAAAAGTTTAGAGAAGAATGTGCTGCTGTATAGATTTCAGACTCTAAGCACGTTATGAATAATACTGTCTTTATTTCTACAGTGGGAGCCAAGAAGAAAGGTTTGCTCCCGGGTGGAACAGGGAATATCCTCCTTCCCTTGATAGTCTTGCTCAAGAAAGACACTCTGGCAACTTCTCTGGCAGAGAATCACTTCCTTTTGATATCCAGGCACTCGCAGGCCTCCTCAATCCTCAGTTTGCCAACAGAGAGGAACCTTCTTTCAGCTTTGGAGCCAGAGATGGACCGCGTAGTGACCTCAGAGGTAGGGAAGGGCACCACGATTTCAGGGGCAGAGATTTCCCACCGTCTGACTTTCAGAACAGAGATGAGTCTCAGATGGATTTCAGAGGCAGGGAACCACCCCCTTCTGAGTACAGGGGCAGGGATATGTACTCCGGAGACTTCAGGGAGAGAGAAGGGCCACCTATGGACTACAGGGGTGGGGACGCTCCTTCAGGGGACTACAGGAACAGGGAGACGTTCCGTATGAACTACAGGGACAGGGAAGCACATAACGTGGATTACAGGGGCAGAGATGAGCCTCCGTCAGACTTCAGGGGGAGGGGGTCTTTTGATCTGAACTTCAGAGGTCGAGATGGATCTCATTCGGACTTTAGGGCAAGAGACGTGCCTGAGTTAGACTACAGGGGCAGAGACCATTCCTATTCCGACTTCAGAAATAGGGATGTACCTAATATGGACTTCAGGGGTATGGGCACATCTGATCTGGACTTCCGAAACAGAAACGCACCATCGTCAGATTTCAGAAATAGGCACAGGTCTCGGACTGATCAGGATTTTAGGAGCAGAGAGATGGCTCCTCCCATGGACTTCCCAGAGAGGGAAATGCCTCCTGTGGATCAAAGCGTTGTAGATTTTAGGCGCAACCAGTCTACTGTACCTTTAGCAGAAAGAGAGGGCTCTGGTTTAAGCACCAGCAAGAGAGAGGAGGCTGCGCTTGGTTTAGATAGAACACCTTTTGGTAGCCAAAAAAGCGAATTTCAACATCCGGAAGCACCAGCCAGAGAAGAGGAATCCCTTGGACTGAATCTCAAAGATGACGCTTCACACAATTTCCAAAACAGCCGTGGACCTCCTCCTACTACCCTTCAGGACCAAGAGGAGCAACCTCAGAGCTTTGCTAACAAGCAACAACAGCAGCAACAGCAGCAGCAGCTTTCTGGGGGGGATCAGCAAAGATCTGATTCTGATCTTGGGTCGAAAGGTGAAGGAGATCTGGATTTCCTGGGACGGCAAGATACGGACTACAGAAACATTGAGTATCGTGATGTGGATCACCGGCTGCCAGGGCACCAGATGTTTGATTACGAACATGGCAAGTCCTTTTCAGAAGGAAAACCCGGCAAAGATTCTAGGCCCTATAAGAGCCTTCAGGTAGGTGGCTTTGACAATTGATGTTTCTCTTAAGCACGTGTTGGCCAAAGAATGGAAGGAGCAGGGAAGGAGTCTTCTATTCGTGTTCCATCACTTTGGTTCAGTCCTAACTCACCGTCCTTCTCTGAGGACATCCTCCTGCTCCAGGCCATTTGGATGGGCACGCTTTCTATCCCAGAAATATTTTATTCTCAAGAGAGATGCAATTTAGCAATTGAGAGTTGCTAAATACATAGAACCAGATTTGGTTCAGAAAGTCCCAAGCTGAAAATGAGCAGACAAGTGGAGGGTGTTATGTGGGGTGGGGAAGCATTGCATAGTTTATGTTCTCCTAGGGAATCTGCTTACGAGTGCTACCAGAGAGAAGCTACTGGGACAGGTGGACCCGCGTGGAACAGCACAGCTGTTCTCATATGCGCTTTGTTTATCCTCATAGTCAACTTCGAAATCTCAAGGTTAATGGTAACCACTGAATTAATAACTGCTGTGGAATTTGAATATCCCACTGCTGGGAAGCAGAGAGCTTTTCTGCTTCTCTTTTTATAAAAACTTGGAGAAATGTGGGATTCAGGGCAAGACCTGCCTCTTGGCATTTACTGTTTATTCTGAGTTGTGTATCTTGTAGACAGATACTTGCTGGACCTGGATCTCACTGCACAGCTCAGTGAGCACATGAAGCTGCTTGTGCTAATATTGCAGAGCTCTCTGAATATCAGGCAATGCTGTGGTAAAGATTTGAGCCATTCTGCTTGTGGCCCTTTCCCTTTGAATTGTACCCTGCTATATTTTGTTCTGGTTTGTGTATCTCATGAGCTAGCGTTTCTCATTTGTAAAAACAACATCTTGGTTGTGTGAACTCAAGGACCAAGATTACCGGACCTGCCCCAAATACATGAAGCCAAGCAAGCTCATTCGGCTAGGAGGAGTGCCTGAAACTGCCACAAAGGATGATGTAAGTGGGATGTTTTTCATCCAAAATTCACTGTAAGACTTTAGAAACACTCGATATAAGTTTTGAGACTTAGCATTTTCAAGCCTGGTGATTGGAATTCAGGTGGTCTGTCATTTTCCCCAAAGAAAATCCTGATTTAGGAGTGACTGCAGTGTTATTTTATCTGATTATTCTGCTTTTTAGAGGGCCTGGAAATTATGACTCTCTTTTGCAGTCACATGCAGGTTGTTGGTAGGTAAAAGCCTTGACCGACAGACACTTGTTAACATACCTTCCTTCCAGAATTACTTTATGTAGAGACAATATTGTTATTCCTTTGGTAGTATATTTTGAGCCTGGAAGACATCAGTGTCTGAATCAACTTGTTCCTTCTTCATTACTTGAAATTCCTAAAATGAGATCTTACGAAGAAGGAAAAGATGCCTCCTGTTACTGCTGATTTTAGTTTCAAAAAAAATAATCATCTAGGCTACAAGGTGAGAGAAGTTACCTTTCCACAAGCTTCCACTTCTAATTAGAATTTTTTGGTGGCAGCTCCAGACATGAGAACACTCCCAGACATCAGGTTTTGCAAGGGTTAGCTGTGGTGATCAGCCCTTCTGAGGCTTAATACACTGACCTTAAATAAGGATCAGAGGGGAGCTGTCTGGACAAAAACAGCATGACAAACCTTTGAACGGTTCTGCTGTAAATGGCTTATTTAAACAAAAATAAAAAAACACATGAGCAAAAATTCCCCAAAACTCAGTAAACAGTTCTCAGAAACTGCAGGAACTTTACCAGGAAAATGCATGTTTATAACAAGCTTAAGCTAGAAAGAAAAGAAGTCTTAGGGAAAGAGAAATGTACTTCAGCAAGTGCTTTACTCTGAGGTTTTATTTTGGAGACTGAAGTGGATCCTGGTTTTCCTGTAGATTCTCAATGCTTTCCGAGGGCCGGATGGGACACCTGTGAAGGACTTGCGGCTGAAAGATTACAGTTCAGGTGAGAATGCTTTTTCAGTGCTTCTGGATTCAGGTTTACAAAAGGGTATTCTTAGCACCAATACTTAGCCACTTTGGTTGTCCTTGATGCCTGTAATTACAAGTATTTTTAAATGAAGATGCCAAGTTCTGTAGTTTGCTCTATTGTCTTCAAAACTGATGGCTGTGCTCACTGTTGCTTCAGAGCTAAATTGTGTTCTGGTGCTTCTAGCTGTAGGAGCAGCAGGAAAAAACAGCAGTGCTGTTCTAGTAGCCATCAATAATAAAGCTAATACTGACGTGGAACAGCAGGTTAATTCCCAATAGATTATTTGTTTTTAGTTATTCAATCCTTTTGGATTGTTCTCCATCTTGTTTCTGAGATGGCCTTGCTGTGGAGTGTCCCCTGCACAAATAGCGTCCCCATGAAACCTGACATCCCGTAACATTTCTCCTTCAGTAACGTGAAACTGTCACCCTTCCTGGATATGAAGACAGGCTTTAAAAAAAAAAAAAAAAAAGCAAAAGCAAGTTTTATAAACCAATATTGAAATACTGGGCCAGGATGCTCTTCCTTATTTCAAAGAATGACATTTTGCTGTACTTCTAATCGGTATGTATTGGATTCTGAAGAAAGGAATAATTTACAAGGCTGCTTTGCGTGAATTACACTGGAACAAAGACGTGTGATTGTAGCAAATGAGGGGCGAGCCCCTAGGACTGGTTTGGGTTATACTAATAGGGAATGCCTGAAAATGGGAGGAGACCATCTGAAGTCACTGCTCCTGCTCTGATGATACTGAACAGGTCCTGCTCCAAAGTGAATTTCTGCTGTTTTCCAAAGAAAAGGAAAATGGCACAGCTGCTTTTGTCTCTTTTTAAACCGAGGAACGCAGAGGCTTGTACCATCGGTGGTGCTTTTCCTTATTACCAGTGTGGGTTGCACGTGGAGCAGCTGGAATTCCTGCTGTCAATACGTTACATAAAGGCTTCTCGAGTGTTTAGTAGCTGGGAGAGAAACTGGGGCAGTTGGGTATTTCTCAAGTATATTTTTATTTCTGGAAGCTGTCAAAGGAGATTTCACAACCTTGGGAACCTTTGAACTAAAGAACACCCCTGTGTTACATAGTCTGCTCTGGCCCAACAAGCAGGGCTTACAGGGTGCAATCGTTCTTGCTTCCTTTCCTCTTTTCTAAGCATGGTACAGCATGGCTGTCGTCACCCTTACAGCACCGAGTGTTACCCAACGATTGCAACCCATTTTTTGCCCTTCCTGATGTGATTTGTCAGTTGCTGTGTTTCTGAAACACAACACGTTCCAGTAAGAAGTCAACGTGAACTGGGAATCTTTTCATGAGTCTCTTCTGGTGTGCATTATTAGGGCATAGAGCCCCCGGTAGAGAACTGCTGTCCCTTTCCCATTCCCTGGTACAGAGGCCTCTCAGGCTGTGATGCAGAGTCTGAGTTAAGTGCGTAAGCCCTAGTATCTGCTGATGGTCACACGTAAAATACGGGTTGTGGTTTTTGTTGTCTCTGTAACAGCTGCATTCTATTTGTCTGTCTCCTTAGCAGCAGAGTGTTGTGTGGTTTTTTTATAAGAAAGTTCTCCTGGCTTGCAAAAGCCAGGGGATGAAGAATGGGGTTAAAACTAGCTCATATTTTATGAGCTACGTAAAGCTGATGGTTAACCCTGTCCGTCCAGCATCAGCAATGTAAGCTGTGTAGCACCGTTCTGGGTTACATCGATGCTTCAACGACTTTGGTTTGCATCATGTCCTAGGGCTGCAAATGCAGCTACTAATTTAAACAGCTTTCTGATCCTTGTTACGCAAGATGGATACATCTAGGACAAAACAAGCTTCCTGAATTGTGAAAACGTCTTCTTGAAATCGGGTAACTAGAAGATGTAGTAAACTAAATCCAGGTTTTCACATGAGGTAATCCTAACAGAGAGACATGCGGAACTGAATTCACATTGACTTCTGAAAAGCTAAGCCTGTTTGAAACTAGGGCCAGTCGTGTGCATAAAATGCTGCTTTCACAATGGAGGGCGATGTAAATATTCATAAGAACTAAAAGCAGACTTCCTGGATTACTGATGTCTCTGATACACCTGGGCCCACCGGCTGCGTTCCTGTATCAGTGCAGTGGTACAGCAACAGCCTGATTCAGAAGAGCCCCCGCTAAGCCTGAGTGGGTTGTGTATTTTTGAACACTGTCCAGAAATGTTAAAAATAACACTAATCATGAGCGTGTATGTACTTCATGTCGAGTGCGTTCGAGCAAGAAGAATGCCTGCAGCTGCTGGAGAACAAAACCAAGCGTAACAAATAGCACACAATTAACTTGAGGTGTGAGGTTCAGATCAGTTTCCCAAAAAGATAATGCATATCATCAGGATTATCTCAGCAGCTTGTGTGATCATTCCGCTCTGTGATCTTTTTCAGGACTCTGTTCTGGGGAAAAAACATGTGGTTGATTTTTCTTTGGGGGGGGAAAAATAAATTCAACTTCTTTACAAATGCCTTTCTTTTACATCCTGTATATGCGCTAAGGGAAGCGTATTTTCACTGAAGGTTGTGCTGAGCCCGGAACACTGTTCTCAACATAGCTGGTGTGATTTTGATATACATAGAAGCTGTTTATTCTTGAGACTATTTTGTCTCTGGGGAACACAGACTGAAACAGTTCATAGATTTTTAAAAAAGTAGTGAAAGAAGAGACCTTGGGAACTGACGTAGTATTTCCGTTTGAATCAAAAAGGCAGGTATTTGCAGGCAATCACAAAAGACCAAAATGAAATTTCATTGTGTTACCCCGTGCAACATTATCTTGTATTGTCTTGTGTCTCTGAGCTATCAGTTGGATTTTGGAATTGATGCCTGCTTGCTTAGGCTGAAGTGTCATACTGGTTTGTGGGGGGAAGAGGGTTTCTCCCGACATAACGTGTTAAACGTTGGCAGAACTAACAATTAGGTTGTTGCCTTCTGGAGTGTGTTTGGCCACGTCTGTTCGATTAATCATTACAAAGAGTAAACCCGGAGGTGATAGTGAGATCTGCTTAAAGTCCATCAACTACTTCAGTCGGTAATATCTCCTTGTGCCTCCTGCTCTTTCAGAGCTGCAGATGCACTGCTTCTGTGGTAGATACTAGCACTGCTGGCTCGTCAGACGCTCTCTGCAAAGTGATTGTCAGTAAGTGCTTGTGAGCTGCCCCTGGCCCGTCTGGAGGTGCTTCTCTCTGCTCACCGGGGTCAGGGCTTTCGTGTGGCTTTCCAGTGGGAACCTCCTGCTGTGGAGCTGTTAGCGCTGCGGGCGATAGCACCAAGCTGCTCGTGGCACGGCTTCTGGTATTCTTGTATGGCTGTTTGCAGCCTCGTGTTGGTACTGACTGCCAGAAGCTTGAAACTGATACCTTCTGACCTTCAAGGAATCTCACATGAAGGCGCCTTGTCCTGGTTTTGATTTTGATCGTGTTTTAGGCTTATGTTCTGCCTGCTTCTCCTTAAGCTCTATTTCTGTTTTCCTGACTAATGCCAAACATAAGCCAAGTCTAGGAAACGATCCTGAGGGTTTGATGTGCATGGAGCACTTCAGGTGAATGCACATGTGTGACCTGCAGAAGGGAACATGCGGATCTAAGTTCATCTTAAAGGGCTGCTTATGATGAGGTGCTGCAGGAGCATCCAAGTGCTACATGAAAGCATGAAGCGTACTCTGAGCTTTCCATTCAAATTGTTCTCCTGGTGACCAAGCTTGGAACATGCTTTCCAGCCAAGATTCACATTAGGGTTGGTACCAACTTGGAAAAAGCTGTTTAGGGAAGGTGAGCTGAGAAATCGCTGGTAGCCCGAGAGGTTTTCCTGGCTTACTCTGCAAGCACATCTATGCATCTGAGAGGCGTCTTTGCTGAGCTGGGAAAGCCTGAAGGAGGATAGACACGCTGAGATAGAGAGCAGCAAGGCCAGGGAGGATCTCTGTGAACTCAGAGGGCCCAGGTGAGCTGAGGCCAGGCACCTTCCCGTGATGGAGGCGCGTGCAGGAAATGCAGTGTAACCTCAAATGCAATCAACTTAGCCTAGTGGCAGCTGCCTGCTGACTTTTGAAAAGCTTTTGTTTTAGCAAGTACCATTGGCACCAGGTACACTTCATTCCTTGCTCAGCCACCTCTGTGCACTAGCATTTACCTGTTTCATTTCTGTGGCCCTCCAGACCTGGCCCTTAGCCTGTAGATGCTTGGAACTGCCTCCTTCCCTTTGTTAAACTTGATGCGTTTTTTTTCTTAGTTGAGGGAGTTCATCTTGGTCTTACCAAGCTCTTCCACTCTGGTGCCCTGTTAAATATTAATAACCCTCTAAGGTAAACCTATAAAAAGCACCTTTCCCCTGCCCCCTCAGTGCAATGTATCGTGTATCTCAGAACAGTGAATCGTTGCTGTCAGGGAGACTCTGAAATCTAAAGTTATTTTCTTTACAGTATTGAATATTACTAAAACTCATAATCTAAGGTCCAGAAATGTATAGTTTGTGATGGAAAAATGGATACAGTTTTTGAGCAGTGCTCCCCTCCATAGCAGGGATAATCTCTCCGTTGTCCTGGGCTGGGGCGCATCCCAAGGTGGTGAGCTCCCCATTGAAAGCAGAGCTCCTGTTGTGTGGGGGGCATTTCTGTGCTTTTGGCTGGCCCACGTACAGCTAAACCTCCCAGTCACTGTGCGTGCAGGTGGGGTTTGAGCCAGCGACCCTCCTGGAGGTCAGAGGTGCTGGAGGAACACTGCCCATGGCCCCGTGTAGGTTGCAGCTTCCAGCCATAGGCAGGGCAGCGAGCCGCCCTGCTGTGCTGCACGGGAAGGATGTTCCTGGAGGTGTGCAGCCAGAACCCTGCTGAACCAAAACCTTCTCTTTCCTTTCAGGAGTCATGCAGTACCCGTGGGCAAACCGCTCCGAAGGGTGGTTTTGTGGCCAGCTAGTGGTGTCCTCCTGAAGAGGGCTTGGTGCCGACCCTGCGCAGTGTGGTTAGGTC